TTGCACTGATTCTGGTTTGTTCCAGCTCTCCTCTCAACTACTTCACATCGGTTTTACTTCATCTCAGCTCCTTTTAGTCTCTTCTTGCCTGCCCTGTGCCTATTGTCCTCTTCTTTCAGCGTTCCCCTCCTCTTTCACAAAAGAAAAAATAAAACCAACAAAAATGATTGAACTCACTCAACATTTCCTAATATAGCATTACTAGCTTTGTTTGCATCTTTCCCTATACTATCTCTTTACATTTTTCCTTTTTTTGGATAGTCCCTAGGTGCTGCCAGGATAAATGTGGTTAAGAAAGGATCAGGGTTCTATTGTCAAGGGAAGAGAAATGAGAAGGGTGATATGGTGAAAGTCTTCAAACGTGTGTAGTTTTTCAACTACAAAAAAAGAAACAGTTGTTCTTTTCCATTGTGGCTAGCACAAGAATTAATAGAATTAAACTGCAGAAAAGATGACTTAGTTTAGCCATAAGGAAGAACTTAGTAGCGATAAAAATAGGTAAGTGTTAGAATAAATTGTGTGATTATAGAATCTGTATTGCTAAAGGGTGGTAAGGAAGAGGCTAGACAAACTTTGTCATGAATGATGTAGACAGAAATTGTTCACTGTGCCTTAGGGCAGGATGGTGCCCTAGCTGACCTCCCAAGACCTTTTCCAGATCTCTTTTCTAGGATCCTATGAAAATTAAGAAACATTAAGAAATAAGGCAACTATTTTATATCTCCACAGCACAAAAGCTCTCAAAAAAACCCTCACATAACGTACAATACTCCATAGTAAATATAATAGATCTATAAATACCCATAATACAGTTTACAACTGTAAAAAAAAAAAACACAGAAGAATTAATTAATTTACTATTCCAGGAAATGCTTGCTTATAAATGCGTAATATTTCATTTCTGCTATTATTATTCCAACAAATTCATGCTGCCCTCTATTTGCAGTGGAAATGCATTTTTTATAGTGTATAATGCAGATAGTTGATAAATGAAATGAGCTATAGTTTTCTAAAGAATTCTCCATACCTACTCAAAATTAAGCAGGGAATAAAAATCCACATCCTAATTTAACCAAGTTCTCCTACTATAAAGACAGACACTACGAATTATTTTCATTCCATCCAGTTCCTTACTTTTCAGAGATGCATTTTTCATCATAGCAGAATAATCATTCTTCACAGAACAAATAAAAGCTATACCAAAAGATTTCGTTTAGCCATGAAATCATTTATCTTTCAAATGAGAAAGTTCTGATCCTCAGAATTGCAACATCATTGAATGAGAGCATGCTGAAGAACTATTCCACTTTACCTCAGTGTTTTATTTCCCCTTTTCTCTCTTTTTCTTTGGAAGAATTAAGGAAAATCTAGATATTAAAAATATAATGGCTCTATAAGTACCTATCTAAATAAATACTTGTCTTCTAAACAAAGGCGGCAATCACTCGTAAGTACCTGGGTTCCACTCTCCTGCACATGTTAATGCCAGAGCAACTTTCTCTCTTCCGTGGAACCAGAGAAGGTGGGTTGGCTTGTTGATCTCTACGGATATTTAGTTAATTCTTCCATACAGAAGCAATCAGGGGCTTAATGTCTTCCTCTTCCCAGCTCAGGTCACTTTGAAGACAACATACCTCAGAACACTATTAGGCAGTGTGTCAGCAGTGACAGAAAATATGATGCAACACCAGTTGAATGGGAAGCTGGTTTTATTTGGTTTACTATCTCATTAAAATAATAATTACAAAGAAGTCTCCTACAAGCGGAAGAACTCACTTGAGCAGCACTACAATCTGCCTCACTTTACGATGCACTATTTGCCTGCAGGCAGTCATTGTATTATGAAGTGTTTTGTCTGCACCTCAATGAGACTGTAAATTTCTGGGATCAGGGACCTTATTTGTACAAAATCTCAGGGCAGACTAATGCTGCTGCACAACACATCAACAGGGATGCTTGCCCTTTGCAAGATTTCCACTCATCTAGTGTAAGTAGGATTATAAGCTTCACTGATTCTCAGAATAACTAAAGACTTGTATATAAGATATTGCCAAAGATACTTGCCATTAATCAAAACAGCTAAAGCATTGATGTTTATATTTCCTGTTAACATAAACATTGAGGCACATTTTAAATATAAGGTCAAGGGTACTTAAACGAAATAGAAATGTTTTTTCTCATCTTCTGCCCCCCACTCCTGCATTCTCCACACAAAACCTATTCCTATTGCTCACTTTTAGCTGTCAGAAATTTGCTGTGGATGAATGCACAGCTAATGCAAAACTTCACTGAATAATTTCTGTTCTAGGTGTTTATTGAACACACAGAGTAAGATGCTTTATTTGGTCAAGAGCAAGCCATGAAAGTTGAAGTACCTTCATGGGAAGAAGGAGCAGATAGCGACTGCATGCAGGAGCAGTCTGTGAGGGATGCACTGGAGGCTAACTGATATCCCTTACCCTTTCCACAGGGACAGCTAAGTTTCCTTTGGTGTAGCGCTGTCACCCGGTCTGCCTCTACGAAACAAAATACAGAGGTCCAGAACTCTGCAGAGACTACAGAACTCTCCTGCCATTCCTCTTCATTATGTCAATACCCACAGCCCAGAAAATCTCATAGCACAAAACAAAACCAAAAACCACAGGGCATGTATTTTGTGCATGTTTGAAAAAGAAGCTAATGACAGCACTATTATGAGACAGTATTAATGGTTATCAGTTTGACATTGCACATGCTCTTTGTAGCAGATACTAACCTGGAATACTGGCAGACAAACAGGTATTTCAGATGGTCTTCTGATGGCTCTTCTTTAGTTCACGTCTCTTGTTTCTATTCTTCTTTGTTTCTTCAGCAGCTCTTTTCCAGCTGTCTTCATTCCTTCCCCAGGAGGACAGACCCATGTTTGAATGCCAGAAATCTCTCTTTTCGCCGTATTCACACTTTCTACTTTTTCCCCACTCTCTCTCTCAGCCTCTTATTTAGTCTCTGGATTTTTTGACAGCACATCTGAGGTTTGCTGATATTTTGAACCAGGTGTGGATTAAACAGAGCATAAGGACATCAGCCCCCACCCTTAGTTTCTATCTCCTATTCTACCGCGGCACCGCTGGGAAAAAGTCCCAGCACAGCAATACGCTGTCCCGGTCCATAGCGGAGGAGCGCCCGCATCAATTCAAGGGCATTTTGGAAAACTGATTATTCTCCTCAGGACTTACCAAATATAAAGAAACGGGTTCGTTTAGGCAGTATAGGATTACAGTACTCAGATCAACGGATTTACAAACAACAAAACTTTACTAACTCCAGTTAAACAATCAATGCAAACATACAGTAACTATATACAGTGGTATTTAGTGGAAGCTTCCAGAAAAAACAACAACAAGGCAAATAAGGTTCCAAAGTAAATGTGATTATGAATGGTATCTACACCTTCATATAAAAAAGGAAAAGGTGGGGGGGGAGGATTGCTCTGATCAGGCCGTGCTGGGCAGGCGTGCCGAGCCCTGGGAACTAAGCCCGTAAACCATGGGGCCACGCCAGACGGTGTGCTGATCCCCGGTGTACACCGTAACCTGCATACGTCACCTGGCCAAACCGAATGGGGTGTGCCGATCCCCAGGAGCAACGCCGCTATTTGACTCACGGGTCCTCGTGCAGCTGCATGAATAGGTGCGTCCCGCTCGGGCGTCCCGTCCCAGGAGGGAGTGGGCGGTAAAGGGGGGCGGTGGGGGAGCGCGGGTTCCTCCGCTGACGGCTGTCCGGCAGCCTTCGGTAGGAGGTCGACGTCCCCCCTCGATTAAGGTGAGGCTACAGCCTAAAATGACTTTGCTCTTCATGAGCCCTGCTGCCTCTTCTCTCTCCCCCTCTCTTTTTTCCGTCGCCACGCTGCTCCAACCGCCGACCGCCAGCAACAACAAACCGAACCAGGTGCGGCGCCAGCAGCCACCTTCTTATAGCTGAGGCACAATTGTGGGCACAGTCATGCTGAGCCTTGTTTCTGCCTCCTTTCTGGAAATTTCCCTGTGACTGACAGCCAGGGACCCTCGCAGCAGGTGACTTCTCATCGCCAATGACGTTAAACGAAGGCTGGCGGGAAGTCTGATTAGGGCTGGGCAGTCTGATTGGGGGGGGGGGTCCGATAAAGGTCAACTACATAACGTCACATGCAAACCCCACCATATGCCTCCCCTCTCTCCTTTGACACTTGCCTCCCCCACTTTCCCCGCCCCGTGCCAGACCGCCCTTGGCCCGCTGATCACCTCCAGCCGGCATGTGGACTCCCAAAGCAGGAGATCTTCAGCGCTGTGTACCACCGGCAAGGCAAGACCATCTCCCTAGGAGACTACGGCTGGGAGGAGCGAAGGCAGAGCTCCTCTTTGCTGTAATACACCTGCAGCAGCACCATTCCCCCTCCCCTCCTGTTACATCTGGCCTGTTTTCATCCCAGCTTTGACTCTTTATTCTTAAAAGAGTCAAGCCAATCCCTCCCCCCGCCAAGCCCTTGAACGCAGCTTTGATCTCAGCTGCACTGTCGGTCGCCAGCGCAGTGTTACGTACCCCCATAAGCAGTCGGACTGCCAGGGCTCTTTGTACAGCTAGGTACAGGTACAACTGTTTGTAAGCTTGTAGTTACAGAATTTCAATTTTCCTCAGTATGAGTTGCAAATAAAGTTTTTAAAAAATCAATACTGAAATCATTTTTAGGCAGCTTGTTTGGTTTTGTCCATAAATTTCATACTTTTATTCCTTTAATCAAGGGGACCTAGGGATCTGGAAAATAAAAATATATTCTGCTAAAGAACAATAACATATGATGTCTCTAAACGGGATGATTCTTTTAATCAGTTTTCCAGATATTCTGCATCAATGACACAAGCTATTCTTCTCATCACAAAATGTTCCATAGAAATCAGAACAATCAAAACAGAGCTCTGTTACCATATACTTGCAAAATTACTACTGAAAAGCCTTACCAAGGCTTTTTTTTTTTTTTTTTTTACCTCAGGTTTGTTTTTTCAGTTAATACTGCCACTCGTTTGGCCTCTAATACACCCAGCTTCCTAAGGAAACAAGGTCTACGCATATGTTGTCCATGTATATGCCTCTCCTGTGTCACCTTCCTTTCCCTCTACCCCTCAGTAAATCTTAAACTGAGTGATCCCCCTTTCAGCCAAATTCAGACAAGGGAGAGAAATCTCCGTGGCTATGTCAAAATCTGAAAAGCCAAGAGCAGTTCCCAGCTCCCCTGTCCATATGCGCACTGCAACTTCATTCACTTACATGTGTGGGGAGACCTCAACTCTTGCCGTCTACTTCCATTCCCTAAAACACATGGACAGGAGTGATCCTGGCATGCTCCAGGCCCCAGACTGGACAAGCAGCAGATTAGACCCCATGGCTCCCCAGATATGCACCTACCAAATATTTTGCTTACAGTCAACTTTACTCAATTTCTACACGTTCCATGTGAAAACAGCCTGGGAGGAGTCATTAAGCGTCCCCACTGAGAGAAAGACTGCAGGTCATCTTCAACCACGTTATCAGACACTAAGAGGAAAGCTCAGAAAGTTGGGCTTTATGTATTTTACAGATCACAGAAGGCCTTGTGTGCCTCTATTCATTTCTCCCTTCCAAGACAAGTAATCAACATTGATTCTTACATAACTTTCCTCCTTTCTTTGCTATCCATATGTTTTTCAAATCATGTACTACTATGGCCTCATCTCCGAAAATTTTAATAGCATCGTACAGATTGGTTATGTTTAAACTCTGCTTACCATGTTTTAGCTGTAGCTCATGGTATTCAGACTTCCCCAAAACATGATACCATCAAGGCACTGTCAATAACAAGTCAAGCTGTGTATCTGTAGAACCACCATGGGCACGCCAGGGCAAGAAAGTGCTGCTTCTGAGTTAATTGGGTTAAATATCTGAATTTTTATTCAGTCCTGTATCATTCCAGACATAGTCAAGTACACTATTGCACATGAAGGAAGGATTCTACAGTTAATCCCACCAAAGACGTATCAAGAAAACCTATCTGGGTAGTCTGTCACAAAAGTAAAATAAATTTTGTAGCAACTAATCTAAATTAAAACTAAAGCAAAAATGTAATAATTTGATTGCATTGTTTAGCTTATTCCGTGACTGACACTACGGAAATGCCTTTGTTCCCAAAACCTTTGGACACTTTCTCCCTGTCAGTAATTACTGAAATACTATACGATCACAGAGAAATTCATAAGCTAATAATTTCCTATCTTATTTACTCCCTTTCATGTCTTGATGTTAAATGGATATCACCAGAGCCTCAATTACAGCATCACAGAAATTGAAAATAGATGATAATTTGATATTTTGCATTCCTATCTGAGGCTAATGGTCCCCAGATCCTTGCAGTAGCAATGTCAGCCAGGATTTTCCTAAATTTCTAATGCTTTATCTGAACCTAAAATTTATTTAGGTTCTTTTTACACAAGAGAGCGAGATCCTGCTATCACTGAAATCATCTGTAAACTCTTCATTGACCCTGATGAGTCAGGGAATCAAGTCCCATAGAATGGTCAGACAACCTTTTTTTCCTGCCAAATCAGCGACAATAAACAGTATTTTTATTATTGCTTTTTATTTAGTAATTGTAAAGCTGTTCATTCTTCCTTTTCTAATCATGTCTTTTATGTTTCAGCGCAACAGGAAACACCATTTACAGAATGTTAATACACCTCCATTTGCTCCTGCGGTTACTATTCTATGGCATCACTTTAAGCCTGTAGGCAACTCTTACGCTACGTAGTTTTTTCTAAAATCCAGTCTGCGTATTCAGCAACTTTTGTATAGACACCTGGCTGCTTTGGACGAGCGCACCCTTCGCCCCAGCTGGTAATGCCGACCAGATACCACACTTCCTCATGCTTGCATGACAGCGGCCCTCCTGAATCTCCCTGCGTCACAGGAGAAAAAGACAGAGAATGGAAGGGATGGCTCTGGTCAGTGTTTCTCTCTCAAGGAAAGCCTTGATAAAAATCAGCATCACTCAGTGTATATTTATACCAGCATAACTGCCTAGATTTCAATTATTTTTGCCTAAAGCTGATTAACACAGTGGTGAAGCAGGTTTCTGAGAGAGAGACAGAGAGAGAGAGAGAGAGACAGAGAGAGACAGAGAGAGAGAGAGAGAGAGAGACAGAGAGAGAGAGAGAGAGACAGAGAGAGAGAGAGAAACAGAGAGAGAGAGAGTGTGTGTATTTATACTCAAGCCTTTTCTTATCTGGGTATACACAGAATCTATCCGTGATGGTTTCTATCACATAAGAAAAGTTCTACATACACTTCAATTGTCAGTGCTTGTAGCATACAAAATTGACAAGTTAAACGATAGTTCTGTTCATAATCATGTTTTTGTTATAATTATAAATGGCTTTAATTATGGCTTTCAATTATATTTTTGAATATATTATTATATACTTTTCATTACCTTACAAGCATCCCTTCCACCTTCTTCATAGCCAGCACAAATCACTCTGTCATCTATTTTGCGCTCCCGATATCTTGCCTGGCATTCCTCTTTTGACATGAGGGGAACAGTAACCTTCTGAAGAATATCTTCTACACGACCTATGTAACATGCAGGAAAGAACAGAGAAACATTCAGTTCTAGCAAAACAAAAATTTAAATTAAATTCTAGAAATCCTCATATGGTGATGTTATAAAGTTGGAGGCCACTGCTTTTGGAGTCATGGTGGACTTTTATGACACACTCCTTTTCTATGTTAGCAAACAACGTTGATTGTTAATGTAAACGTTCCACTCACACCATTTTATCAGTGTATATGACTGGGCAAGCCTCAAAACTCCCTTACGGTTTTCTGTGAATCCTCTTATGAGTATGACTTTCAGGAGACAAGCCCTTGGAACTCATACTCCCAATTAAAAGCATTGCTTCATATCCTTAACAATTCTGTCTCAGTAGCATATTGCAAGAGTATTGGAACCTCTCAGTTGCCAACTCTGGGCTGCTCAATATCCTTGTAGTTCACTGAGTGGAGAAACATGCATGCAGAGTAAATACTATTTGAGTCAGCGTTTTCTTAGAAATCAAGAGAAGAAATATAGTCTGTACAATATCTGCCCAAATATAATAGATTTCACATTGAACTCTGGCCCTCGAATAGGAAGGTGGGTAAAGGAGAGGACATTGTGTTTAAGGAGATTATGAAAAAATTACAATACAAAAGCAGATTTTGATAATAGCCACCTGGCCTACCTCTGTATGAGATCAGAGGCATTCAAATCAGATGTACTATCAGACCACAAAAGTCATTTATAGATGTTTATAAACAACATTCAGAATCATAAAAGCAACATTTTTCAATCTGATTTCTGAAGTGAATTCATTTTAGTAAAATCACATAATCAAGTATACTAGCTACATGCAGACTGTAAGTCAAAATCTCAGCAATTAGTCTATTGGCTTTTCTGGTTGGGAGCTTGAAAAGTAGTAGTTCTTCCAGTTATATATAATTTTTGTCCATATAATGAGACAGAATCTAAGGAAATGTATTTGAGGGCCATACTGGATACATTTAAGGTTATATTCTTACAGATTTCAAATTCTTGAATCAAATAATTTATAAATCTTTGTCAGTAGCCTGTTGTGACTTTTGTGTCAGAGCAGAGTTTAGTTGATAATTTAATACAATCTGTCCTATTCGCTTTCTGTAACAAGTCTTAATAGAAGTAGTTGTGAGTTAAGAAAATTATAGTGCCTGCTCAATAGCAATAACACTAGCCAAAAGCATGGGATAATTTGCTTTAAAAAAGCTTTGGCCTGACTCTAATCTACCAGTGTAGAACAGGAAAATGTTTAGTGAAGGTAAAGAAGTTATGCAGTTATCACTGGAATAACTGACAGTAGAATCACATATTAAGATCATGAGCTCAAAGCCTATTTTGGAAACTTCTTTGTTTCTCTGTATTTTCTGTATTTCTGTATTTGATTTGACACCCAAGTGAATACTACTTAGAAAAAAAAAAATTAGTCTTTTTCTTCCACATGCATCATGAGCAGAAACCAAAAGATCTCAGTCTATCTTATATCCCTAAAATTCCTTAGTTAAGACATTATCCCTCTCTCTCTCTTTTTTCTCTGCCCTGGCAGATAAGCTGCATTAACTCAGTAGACTAGCTCACAGAGTCCCCAAACCGTTCAGCATTTGTAAATGAAGGATCACACTACACAACTGTATAAAAGGATATTAGTAGTGTCTGGAGCAGATCTCCGACAGCTTCACAGATTAGCGTAAGTTTCCTCAATGTAATATATCACCTCTTAACTGTAGGAGTATCTGTGAGCATACAAAGTAATGTGAAACTAGGTAACTTGCAGCATTCATCTAGCTGCAGCGAGAAAGCTTGACAACCCAATGTAGAGCATCGGTCTACAGGACTAGCTCTATTCATTGACTCTGATGACTGATGCAAATTCATACGGGTAAAGTTGTGAGCAAATGCACAGTCTCTGTGTAGCGTGTCACCACAATTCCTTGTTTCAAGGACTCAAGAGGTTTTTTGTTTTTTGGGGGGTTTTTAGTAATACAAATTTTGCAGATATAAGCACTCACTGTTTAAATATTAATGTGTACCTCTTTCTTTTCTATAACCCCATCCAGTCACCCAGCAGTTGGTATAAAGTGTGTTAGCATCTTCTTTTGATGGCAGGCAAATAGGTAGCTGAAGATCTAAAATATGATTTAAAATGTTAGTTTGGCCAGCAGAAATAGTTGCAATGTTAAGGTTTCACGGGCACCTTATACAACTCTCGATGATAGTCTCCGTGCTATGTTTTGTCCCTTATACTGTACATTGCCCCAGTCACGTAAACAAAAGCCACCCATATTTGCTTCAAAGCCAACTGAATAAGGTTCTCTTCAAAACCCATTAAACACATATTAAAGGAGACCAGCCCAGGTTTCATGCACTGCGATAACGAAACTAGCCCTATGGCATCCTGCGCATTTTCAGAATTCCTCTGTAATACTCTACATACCAGTAAAATTCATAGGCTTATCAAGTTTCATTAAAGCAATGTCATATCCAGTCTGTGCGATTTTATACTGAGGGTGAACAATAATCTCTTCCACTTTGAAGAAAGGCGTTTCCTCTTTTATTTCTGATTGTTTTAAAATACCCGCATAAACACGCCAAATGTTGGGATTCTCAAGACTGAGGGAAAAAGACAAACAGTCAGTCTGAGGCACAAAGATTTGCACTGGTTTAGAGTTTGCGTGCAGGTGCCAACTCCTGAACGTACAGTGAAAAGCACTGAGGTCATCCTTCCCATTTTTGTTTTTACTCACACAAACTCTAAAGAGATCTGTCTGAGCCATTCCCTCCACTTCTCATTTCTCCTATTCCTCTATTTATATTTTCATCCCACACCAGTTTTCCCTCTCTTTTATGTTCAGACTCATTCCTCCTGATCCTTTTTCATCCTTCTTTCACTTCTGCCTTCTGGGTTTTTATTTTCTCTTTCTCAAATTACTTTTACCTTTAAGGGCCTAATGCACACCTTGACAAAGTAAATAAGATTCTTTCCATTCACTTCAGTACAAGAACTTTCTTATTAACCAAAACAGAGCTGAAAATATAAATTCAAGTAGAGTCTATTCAGACACTTGTCTAATATGAAAATGACTGTAGCCATCAAAATGACTGCAAACAAGAGATTAGAAAGTGTAATAATATAGATCTATATGTAATGTTCCAGCTAATCTTTATAAATTCAGCTTTACTTTGACTAAGTTTAAGGGACGTTTCATTGCAATATTTTGCTATCAAGGCAAGCTAAGTTTAGGTATATGCAAGGAAGAAGGTATAAAATTTGTTTTAAATAAGTTTTCCAAAAATTTTGAAAGTTTTATATGTGGATACATAAATACCAGTTAGGCATAACAATTTCCAACCAACATCGTCTGCTTTTTATTTTTAAAACATACTTTATCTCTTTGCCCTTTAAAACGCTGGCAAATTCTACAAACATGGGATAGCACAGAGATAATGACATTCTTTATATAAGGTTTTTAGGGGGCTTAAAGAATATAACCACTTTAATAGGGTTTGTCACTAAAGGCCAACTATAGTTGGCAACACTATTTCACACTAAAATCAGATTACTCTGCTTGAATAAAAGTGCCTGATTTCAGTCTGTGTTGCTGGGTCAATGCTCTCTTCTTTGAAGCATGTTATCTGTTACTTGTCCCTTCTGTCCCATCAGTCCGAATCAACGTATAGCCTTAAAATTTTCACTCTGTAAGTGACAAGATAAGGTCCTTTACCCATGCAGACAACATAACAAGGGAAAGGGATCATTTGCATGTCAGTTAAATTAGCTCTTCAAAACAGGAGTGGTTTCATTACCCAAATCTGATGGCAACTTGGTGGTCATCAACAATACACACTATATGTTTCAGTGCAAATTAGCAGTGCCTTAGGTGCTGGCTGCTCTAAATTTTGTTCTTACAGCTGAAATACACATTAAAAATTGAGTATTAATTGATTTACTGATAAAGTGAGAAAAAAAGTTAAAGGAAAGCCAACACAATTAGGGTCTGGATATTTCATATGATGCAGAGATAAAAGAGTCAGTTTAGAACTCAGGTATCAGAAACAGCCAAATTGGAGCACCACCTAACTTTACATCTTGGCCAAATAAGGTAGATTTTGCCGAGCAAAATCTTAGCAATTTTTTTTTTCCTGAGCAAAATCAAATGCTGAAGCTAGATTGCTACCATTACCTAAGTGCCACAGCCAAATCTCTGGGATAGTCATTTGAAGTTTATGAAATGGAATACGCTAGCAACAGATTTTCCTTTATATGATATCATGACATATAATAATGGTATTAGAGTAAGAAAAAGCATATATCACATGAGGATGTCTCAGTTACTGTAAATATCTAAAGTATCTAGGTACATTAAAATAATTTAACAGCAGTAATACAATACTATGCTACAAACAGAGAAAGGTTATAGTGCGGAGTTCCAGTTACAACAAAAATATGAAGTCTGCTTTAAAATGTCCCCTTTTGGTTATATTAAAATTATTTACTTCATTCTAGTCCTCATTTTTATCATGTATACTTATTTTTCTGAAAGATGAATCTTAATTTGCCTCACATGCTTTAATATATTCACATTTAGCACTCACCTCACAACACAATGAGCAGCTGTAAGAATCCATTGGTTACTGATGATAGAGCCCCCACAGAGATGTCTCTGACGAGATAACTTCACATGCAAGCTTACTTGCCATGGCCATTCACCAGGAGAAGAGTCTGTCCCTCCAACAATCCTTATACTTTTTTCAGAATGGTGCATACATACTATAGAAATAATTGAAACGGGTGATTGAAGGTCATTTGCACTCACCAATGAAAAGACAAAGATGAGACCACTGTTGACCTTCTACTAAGAAGGTGAAACATGATACATTCTAATCCCTTTACAATCTCCGATCATGTCTATTATAATCAAGTTCACGATGCTAGCATTTGTGTTTACATTGTACATTCTACGCAGGCTCATAGTAGACTACCTTTACTTTTTCAGAACATGGTTTAACCTCACAAGATGCCACGTTATCATTTCAATGCAATTATTTTTCTAAAAAATATAGCTTCATGTGTACTAGGGAGGTTTAGGCTTCCTGTACTGAAATCAGTAAGCAATGCCTTTTTTAACTGAAAATTTTACCTACCAGTACTGGCCTTTTTTTTACATAATCTTAGTGAGTATCCAGAGATTCTTCCTCCTCCATGTACTATTCCCACTGGGGATCCATTTGAGGACATTTTCAGGTGGCACTTACATTTTCTGTCAATAAATTAATGTAAAGATTCAGTTTGCACTCTTTATGCAAAACATATACACTACTCCCTCCCTAAGTCGGTAGAATGATTCTTTCAGCAATCTTTAAAACATTTTTAAAAATATATCTCACCTTTCTTCATTGCACGAATCTTGGAGTGGAAAGTAGGTAAAAAATTGGCAACGGATCGTGTCTGTGCAAACCTGCTGACAAACTTTGTGTCCTTTAGCATAAGTAACATTGAGTTCCTCTCCCAAAAAATTCATATTCATGTACGTGCGAGAACTGCAGGCTGTAAGAATGAATATTCCAAACATCAGTAAGTCTAAACGATGTGATTAATTCAAAATTAATATTTTTATTGTAATTTATTCTTTACCAGGAAAGGATCTTCTACAATTTAGGAGACTGAAGCCTGATACAGCATTTTCTCTTGATATAAGTGCATCCGGAATCCCACTTCTTGATGTCTTCAGAAGGCAAAGATTTCTAAAATGAAAAATTTTAAATATAAGTCATTCTCTTCCCACATCCTAAAAGTGATGGTTTAGGTACCGGTAAGAGAAGGTTCATTCTTCAGTGTGCTTTTTTCTCCCACCTCTGTATCTGTAGAAAAGTATTTCATATAAAAATGCATTAACGAAATGCTAACTCAACACCTAAAGTTGATAGAAAAACAGGGCTTTTGCAGTTTTGTGAAACAGCATATGGCTGTACTACTAAAGATTGTACAGTACTTATATATAAATAGAAAAGGTGACTTCAGATGATATATGCCATCTCAGTTTTGCTACTCCCTGAAATTTCTTTGAAACTTTATTCTTCTTTTCACATCTGCTTTGTGTGGAATGTAGGCTTTTAACTCTTCTCACTACTAAATATGAAAAAAAGAAGTTCAGTCTTTAAAAGGAAACACTTTCAAACCCATTTACTTTATACAGAATCCTTTCAAGTACATAACTTCATAATGCTAGAAAACATCATTACAGTGATCCAGAGACTTGTTCTCTCTTTGATGCATATAACTTTTCAGATTAACACTAGATGTGCAGCTACATTACAAGACCCCTGGTCACACTAGATAACAGATTAAATGCCCACAGAAAATTATGAACATATAAATAAAACATGTAAAAAGCTACACTTTACTAGAAATAACCTTTTAACAAGAATTTCCATAAATATAATAAAAAGGTGGTTAAAAAAGACTGTTTTTTTTTCAAATATCTACTTAGAGAATTAAAGTTAGTCATTATATTCACCTTTGGGATTCTATTTGCCATTCCCTGGTAAAGAATGTAAAGAACAAGCAGTTTGGAAAATAAGTACAAATAGTTTGGCAGACGGAGACATCGGGAGTGAAAAAAGTTGTAATATTAATTCCTGAAAATTCTTTATGTTCAAAAATGTCCATGTGACAATCTGTATAAAACAAGAAAAGAATATCAAAATTCCAATAATTTTATAACATTATCAAAATATTAAGGCTTACAAATTCTTTATTTGTATCACGGTTCACTGTTCCCTTCCTTTGTGCTGGAAAGATATCATAATATTTTAACTAGAAAACTATTTCTTAAGAACATTTTGAAAAGTGTGTCACCTTGTGTAGAGGATTATTGAGCAGGGATGAGGTTCAAGTAGAGAAGCAGGGAAGTTACACGTTAGAATAAGGATTTGCTAATCTAATCTAACGAGGAGAGCTTCTAACTAGGATCCCCAGAAGTCAGTGGTACAAGTGCAGAGCTAGGCATAAATTATCGTAACCCAGACAAAGTCTAAAATCACTGAGGTGACAGGTCTATCTAAGAGGATCATGGAGATCAGAAAGAAAATAGTGGGCTGATCTGCTCAACAGTTTGTTTATCTAAATACTAATTAAAAAGTAGACAGAAGAGCAGGAGATTCTTGAATTCTGCACAATGACATGACTAAAATAATATAACAAAGACTTGGTAGGATAATTCACATAACTAGACTATAGATATGGAAGTTATAGAAAGCACCAGTAGGTTTAAAAAAGGGAGTTGCCTTCTCCAAAGATATACTTAAACTCCTAGTTAAAATCCCAATACAATAATATAAAGGGAAAAGAATGCAGCATGACATGGAGGACATCACTAAAATTACCAAACCAGACAGATGACATTATGTAACTGAATCTTTTTTAAAAAAACAAAATGGTCTAAAGCATAGGACTTTCTTAAGGAAATAATATTTAAAGCACAAATGTGGATCTGGAATTTTACAGAAGCTATCCCATGATCTAATGTTCATTGATAAATTTATTCAATATTTAATCACGTCAAGGAAGAAACTTTGCAAAAGGCAGAAAGTAGGACAAATTACTATAGATGAGTAATAGCATGAGCACATTAAGGACAAAATCAGAAAGACGCAAAGACACAAAATGAAAGGCCAAACAGCAAGAAACAAACTGCCAGAAGAAAAACATTCAGTAACACTCAATTAGGATTAGGAAAAGAGCTGGTCCTCTGCTCAGGGGAGAAGGAAAGCTAATGACAAAGGATACGAGAAAGACTAAAGAATGTATTGCCTTTTTTTCCCTCCCTTCTTCAAGAAAACTAATTAGTCTCATATCGACGCCGTTATAAGCTATAAACGTCTTTGATAGTTTCTAATGTGTTTTGATTTTTCTTTCAACTTAAAAATTGTATGTTTGTGCATGCACTTCAGTCCCCTGATTCTTCTCCAGGTCTGTGAGTAGGACCCTTAGTGTGCTGGAACTTTTCTTCTAAGTGCATACATGGTATATAAAGTTAGAAAGTTTTATACTCCTCCTGATCTTTGACTTGGATGAGATTTCACCTTTCATTTTTGTATCTCTGATACCAAGATAAAATGCAATTTGATCAAACTAATCTTGTGAAAGAATTCTTTAGATCTTCAAAACACAGGACTGTTTTTGTAACATAGAATAATAAAATGGAAAAATTAAAAAGATCAGAACCTCTTTAGTGCCTGAGTACTAGCTATATTTCTGAGAATTAAAAATAAGTTTATATTATAATTCTTTTACACAATGAAACATTTATGTATGTCAGAGATAGACAGCCCCTTGTCATCCATAACCCTTAAATCTAAACTGAATCAACAGAGATTTTAACAATTACCTATTTCAGAAAGCTGGCACGGTTTTAAAGAGAATCCAGATACAACACCATCAAGCAGCCTTATGCTGGTTGGAGTTGCCAAAGTGGTATGTTTCAAGAAGCATTTTTTACTGAATGACAAAGAATGAAGAAAGTAGTAAGACAACAGGCCTACAATATCCTTCTGGCACCTTAACTCCTACCATGCTGTATATTCTGGCCATGGGCCAGAACAATCTCCAGAACAATCTTCAAACGAGGAACAGGTCTTGCTGAACAGTGTTAAACTTGCAAAATTGAGCAGGCTAACAGCTCAAAAATAGCACTACTAAAATTGAAAGTATTTATCTGACTGCACTGAAGATGCTATTTTCAGAGCAATAAGCAGAGCAAGACTTAACAGAGCAATAAAGCTGCTCACATATCAATATCATTCGCATTTTAGTATCTCCAGTGGATTAAAAAATTTGTCAGTGCTGTGATAATCAATTTTTTCTCCCAACAGACGAATGAAAGTTAATTTACTACAGCCGTTTTTCCTATCTGCCAGTTTGAATCAACATTTCAAGGATGACATGTCAAGGAAAAATTTACTTCCTTGAATAAATTCTCTCACCTTAGACTGCTCTGAGATTTACTCTACTAAACCGCAGCGCTGTCCAGGGAGAGGGATCAAACCTGTATTTACCGAAGGCTTGCATTGTGAAATGTTTCTGAGGCATACGTAAAAAATTGACAATGGTTGTCATTGGTACATCTTTTTTGACACTGTTGATAGCTGTCAGCCAGAGTAACATCATAACTTTTCCCTTCCATATCCAGTCCTTTGTGGACATTTGGACTGCAAGCTGTGAAAAACAAATGAGAGAAAGCATTCTGAAAACACTGAAAAAAACATGAAAAAGGTAGGTGTTCACACAACACCCATTGTCAAAAAGTATCTGCTGCCTGTACTCGTTTAAGTTATGTTATACTTCTCATATGCTTTTATTAACAAAATCAGAAGTATGGGCAGGATACAGCACCACATGGTAGAGGAAAAACTAAGAGACTTTGACCCTGCCTCTGCCTGTGTGAGAGAGAGTCTCTAATAGCTCTAATAGCTGAGACCATGATGAGATTAATCATCAAGTAATTTAGATTAATACTAAGGCACATACTTTCCTATTTCTAAATTCAAACAGCAGTTTTAAACGCAAATCCTATCGTCATAAGCAAAAGCCATTTCCCCTTTCAGTTAGAGGATTTAATTCATATTCTGCAAAGGGAGAATTTTGACTGTGGAGTTTGAAACAGCTTTCCCCAATGAAGGATGCATGTTTTACCTTCTAGTCACTGGGTTCTCCTCACAGAATGCATATGTCAGCCAGTCATAGGGGTTGGGTTATTTTTTCCAAATAGCTTTCGATTTTAGTGACTATAGTCTGATTCTAGAGTAACATCGGTGACATCAACTACACTAAACAGCACTAAAAAATAACATCCCACTGAGACCTATTTTCCTATGCCAAAGCTACACAGAAGTCCAAATATGATAGCATGTTGTCAGGAAAGCACTTTTAAAAGTCCTGAATGCTCTGAAGGGCGAGTGCCCATAAAAACCAAGCACAACTGATTTGTCAGTAATCTGCAATGTAGATAGAGCTCACACAGAGCAAGACGCATTTAGCCCTGGCGTACCCAGGTGCTATTCCAGTGAAACTTAAGAACTATGCTGACATCTATAAGGCTATATTTGGCCTCAGAAGCAGCAACTGAATATTTCTTATTCAGGGACAACATTTTCTACAGCATCATGTTATGCTTAGAGCTGATTTCCACGTAACAATATGATGATGGTACAGGTTTAAACAACACACTTAATAGACTTAAAATGCGCCCACTGGTAATTCCCTGGCATGGCATGCTGAGACTAAGACTGTGCATATAACATGCATATACTCAAAGACAGAGCTGCTAATAAATTATTACATTGAAGACAGCAACATCACTTAATGACTACCATTGCTTCTGCTTTGCTGGGCATCTGCTCTATAAAGTTACAAAGCAGGCAGTCACATATATCTTATGAGCAGCTTATTAGAGTAGAACTGTACCAGTATATTAATCTTTACAACTAGAGCTATGAGTTGAAACATATGCTCCCACTGGCCTGAAGCAAATGAAACTGTGTGACTCCAGAGCATGATTTCCCTGTTACTTTGTTTGGGGAGCCTAGGTGGTGGACAGTTGAGGCTGAAAGATGAAGCAAGTGGAAGAATTGTAAGCTGTGTTTGAAAGATATCTGGGAAGGGACATACTAAACACTGCTTGGCTGCTTCTAATTCCATTTCTGTTTTCAAAATGATAATTTTCTAACATACATGCTACGTGATACACAGCATAAATTCATATATGTGAATGACCACATCTTACCACTAATTTTGATGTTACACTGTTTTAAGGAATGTCCAGAGATAGCGCCTTCCATATCCACTTTTGGCAACGTTTCAGTATCGCTGTCTTTTAAGTAGCAGGAAAACCTGTGTTTTAAAATGCAGCAATTCACAGCTTTTGCAGTATAGCACAGTCCTTTCTAATTCTTTCTCAAGTGAAACGTGGGCCATCTTTTATTCCTCAGCATTAAAATTTAGGCAACAACTGCAGTTCAGAGAAAGCTAGGGTAGAGCTGCATCTGCTTTGTTGGCACATGCATGCTTACTGGCCGACCAGAATACATGGTTTATGTCGGAGCTCCAAAAGCTCTTAGAGAGAAAAACACATCCAGGCTCAAATGGTTGGTGAAAGGGTTCTGAAGGTAGGGATGTACTGGGCATACAGAGAGATCACAGCACAGTCCTTTCAGGCTAGTGTCATTCTTAATTATGAGAAAAATAAAGAGAGTGGACAGTGGGGAGGGAACAGATTACACAGGAGGAGACAGTGAACTGCTGGAGATGTAAAATTACTCACATTATCTCTCAGCAACACATGGCACAGAGCAAGGAGAGCACAGGTGATTTTATTTCCTGGAAAGGGTTGGTATATGAGCGTGAAAGATAAGAGTATTACCAAATCTAATCTTTCAAAGTTCAGGAAATACTCTTTTAAATCATCAGTTTTAAAAATATGTAACACTGTTTTCCATGGCAACCCTGCAGCCTTCACCACCTGCCTGTGTTCTGATGAAGTGGTACTGAGTTCCTAAAAACATCACACAAGACCAGCAAGAGCGGCACAAACATGAATACGTTACCTTTTTGTAGGATCATTAGTCCATGTTGGTGGAAAATAGGTGAAGAACAGACACGTGGGATGGTAAGTACACACAACTTGACAGTAATTGACATTTGGCGTAAAAACTGTAGAGACGTCTCCTCCTTGGAAGTATGTATTTTCATAGATCTGAGTCACGCATTCTGATATGGAATAACAAAATGCATAAATTATTGCAGATGGTAGCGCGCACAGTTCACTAGGAGACGGTTAAGACACTGCTCCTCTGTCATTGACCAGGCTCTTAAAACGGTCCTTTGGCAGGAAAAGAGGGTGAGGGGAATGAGTAGCACAGTTCCTCTGAGGGCATCATCTTTGCTTTCCAGTCTGGAAGAAATAAATTCTCTGGGCTCTCTCTCCCGCTTCCCCAGCCTTGTGCTCAACTCTGGAGGAGCATAGCTTGAGCTGAGGTGGCAGATGAACCCAAAGCCCTGGCAGCAGGTCTGGCCGCAAGGAGGATGCACGCAGCACAGCAGACCTGGGGAGAGGATGGGGAGCCACTTGTGGCAGTGGCAGATTTCAGGAGTGGCAGAGGCATCTTGAGAGAGCGCCAAGGACAGAGAATCATTAAGAGGAAATCAGGAGACAGAAGAAAGTCCAGAGGCTGAAGGAGTTAGAAACTTGTATGTGAAGAAGATCCTAATGTTTAGGGATGTTCTAAAGCCAAATTCATAGAAGGTGCCAATCTGTATAGCTTCAATAGATCCCAGCATTTCATAAACCTGCTTCTTCATAACCAGCCTCGAACCCGTTCCAACTTGCTTCACAACAAAGAAAATGCTGACTGTTAAAAGAGAGGGGTATTTCAGGAATAGTGCAGAATCAAAATAAGCTTGGCCATAATCTCAGATTTGTAGGAATTCATCAATTCTGTACTAACGCTCTGTAATAAAAGCCACTCACATTGTACGGTTGTGGGACAGAAATGAAAATATCTAAGTGGCAACACATTCCTATGCTTTGAAATTTGGGAATATGCAAGATCTCCATGTTAAGACGTACATAAGGGCTGCTTCACAGAGAAGCCCGCTCTCTGCTTCTTGTACTTTGCCTTCTGAAGCAGTAGCAAGCATACTAGTTTGTAGCTTGTATCAATAAAATTGCTTTTTCTTAGCTCAAGAATGAAGGGAAAATATATTTTTACAGAATAGGAGGAAATCCAACTGAAAAGATTTTATCTAGCTGCTTAGTTTGTGGTTTTAGAGCTCTACAACTGTATCAAAAGCTATTTAAAATAAAACCGCATATAAATACTGTTTTTTACGGTTTGAAAAATGTTGCAAGTGGATTTTATTTGAAAAGGTACTAAATAATATGAAATAAACTATACTTTGGGAATTCTGTTTCCTGTACACAGGTAAAACGTATAATTTATAAACAAAAGGAAAAAACAAGGAACTATTAGGCATATTTGCAAGGTTTGCTAGTATTTTTAACAAGGCAATCTCTTATTTTTTGCAAAAAGTTGTACTTTATAAATATCAGAAATTTTCAGGGGTATATACTTTCATAAGCTCTATCTAAAAATTAGTCTTTATTATTCTTAGGGGAATTTCCTTTCCCAGCTTTGTCATTGCAGGGAAACCATTTTTTATAACTTCGAACATTCTATATGAATTATGAAGTAATAATAAAATGCTGCAACTAGCTACTGTACCAGACATTTTCAATCTTACTTACCTTCTTGTAGTGTAAATATACATACAACTTATGCTGTTTAATGTTTAACTTCTAATACCACGTAAAATTATGCCACTTCCGAATACTGTGATTTTATACAAGAATATGTTTCTTGAGTCTTAGAAACGTTTCAAGATCTTAGTTTTACTGAGATTTTAATCAAAGTAAAACATTTCTTAAATAACGCTACATTTGTCAAACAGATTTTGATTAAAAAAACTGTTACCTAACTGTCCTCTGAGAAAATAGTTAATACATTACTGAATACAAAACTGTATTAGGTCTTAGCTCTAATTTATCAGCACAGGGAACTTCAGGGAAATGCAATGGCATTTTGTAGTTTGACTTTTGCTAACCAAAGTAAATCATTAATACAGAGCGGCATTGAAAAACATACACTGATTTCCAGTGTTTCAACGGAATTCTACAAAATCATATATATTAAAACAACTCTTTGAATTACTCATGCTTACTGCAATAATCTTTTGAGTCTGATAGTATATGGTATTACACAGATACTGTTTAAATCACAGTAATTTCACACAAAGGAGAAAAAAAAAAAAGATGTAGATTCTGAAGTTCACTTTCTGTCCTCCTCTGAGGCTGCTGGGCTGAGCGGCTCCTTCCCCCTGCCCATCTGCCCTGCCTCCCACCGAGAGGGACAGGCTGGGCTGAGGCAGCCCAGGGCCTCCGGGAAGAGGCCGCCCATTGACCTCCATGCAGCGTACTGAACCGCTGGCAGCCAGGACAAATTACAGCAAACTTTAGCGGGCTGTAATTTGTGCTGGGGGAAGCTAGTCTAGAGCAAAGCCAGCTCAGAAACACGAGGCCACGAGGCCCCCACCACCTTTTGGACTCCATCAGCTCCTAACTTCTCTGTTCCTAAGCTGCTGCTAAAATTGTTAACCTTGCTGTTGGGTGCGTGACTTTAAACCTCACATTGGGTTCACGGTAAATAGCTGGATTCGGTTTCACTCCAACAGGAAAACAACTGCATGCAGTGGGGTCCCATGCATGCTGGGCGAGGTGAAAGCACGAGGGGTTGGCAGGACAACTTCAATAAAGCCCCATTAGATAGCTCCATTTCTGTTAATAGGGTTATGAGAAACTCAATTCAGTGCAGCTCAGTAGAATATCAAGCCAACTCTCCCAGGATCAGACTATAGACGCTAATATGCATCCTGCCACCAAAATCACTTTGCTCTGTGGTTCTGCTCAGTCTGCATATAAATATGTAGGCTGTTCTGAATATTATCCTCTTTAGTCTCCCCTTCTAAAAGGGTCACATTACTCTATATGCGCATTTTAGGGATTATATATTCACTTACCATTGTAAACTGAAGCAATTAAGAAAATGAAATAAAAAGTCTGATAAATCCAAACCATCCTAAAAAACACAAAATTATTCTTTAGGACATGCTTAATAAATGGTAAATAATTAATTTTATAAAGCACCACAATGCATATCACTAAGTGATTTACATGTGTACTGTCTACCATTAATTCACAATGGTATGAAGGGTAACAAATTACCACTGCGATGTGTGATTATGACGTATATACAGTAGTATGCCATATCAGCAAAAGTTTTATCCTTAGGGTTCCAAGAAGTAATAAGGCTTATAAGCACTTGGTTAATCTCTGCTTTGTTTTGCAGCAGAACATTTATTCTTGGTTAACCTGGGAACAATATTTCCTCAAGACGTTGTTATTAACTATGATTCTGCCCTGGTAGTTAAATAGATACTTATCAGCGTAGCAGACATTTGATTCATGCTCACCACTTCTGGTACAATTTATATAAATCTTATATTCCTTTTTTGTACATGCTACCACTTAAACTGTGAGAGAATCAAATAAATTAACCACACAACAGAATCCCTAAAAAGACCAACATACACTGCCTTGTTGCTATGAAAGTCTGTACTAAATATCAATTGCAATAATAATTACATACCTGAACATACAGTAGGTCTTGATGAATGGATAAGGTTTGTGCTCTACTGAAGAAAATAAAATCAAATCGTCTGCAATTTGTGTTAAATATTACTGTGTCTGCAATGCTAGCTTGTCTTTAATATTTACTTTGCAAGTGTGCTCACTCTGTCAATATTGTTACTGACCTTGGGCCACGTTTTCAGAGCATAAATCACCAGCACTGCATAGAAATCACTATACATTACTTCCACCAGAAGAGCATCAGCCTCTTGATGACTTTTTTAAAAATAAACATCTAATCCCTGGTTCAGATCAGTCAGATTCTCTGCTATTAGCACACAAACCTACACAAAAAAAGGGAGCAAGAGTCATACTACATCAGCATAAATCTCAAGAGTAAATCCTTTACTAGTTGGGAGCACTGGTGTGAAATTACTGAGAGAGATGCAGATCCAAGTAAAAGACATCATTATGAAACTAATGTAACTGAAGAGCAAATCTTCATCTGTGTTTTCTTACCATTACACCATATTCTTGAGGTGTTCCCATGACAAGGGAGACAGTTATATTCTTTAGCTATATATTGCGTGTTCTGTTGTCTTTAACACTAGTTTGAGCTCTTATTCTCTCTTTTCAATACTCTCCAGAAATTATCTTATCTACCTCTCCCACTAGCTTTACTCTGGCCCTTGCTACACATTTCCTGTTTTGTTGTTAAATGCAATTAATGGCATCTTCAGTTTGCAGGAAGCCAGAAAAGAACTGTTGCATATCTGAAACAAAAATGCAACAAGTCATCAAATTTAATTTATAGTTTATCTATCACCTGTTTTGATTTCTAGAATTCGTTTTTAACTTGTGTAACCAAAGCAAAATAAATTTCAAATTAAAATCTTTCAAATCTAAAAACCAAAGTGTTTCACATCAAAGTGAAATGGTCAAAACAGCTTTCCCTCCCCTTTTTCTGAAATAGGCTGAATAGGCCAGCAAGACAGAAATTCATGTACAAATCTGAATAGATATGTTCCGTTCAAAAAATGGTTAAACCAGACCATTTTGCCCAACTGTGATCCTTTGGAGCATTTTGATGATTGAACTGACTTCTATGTCTTATGCACCAGCAAGGTTTCCACATCTTCCTCTACAATGCAAAAAACGTCTCAAAGAAAGTCTTCATATCCTCTTGTGTGTCAACTTGCTTTGCTTGTCTCATGCTGGTAGGAAAGGACTCAAATGTTTCCAGTACATCATCTTTCATTTTTGCGCTCTTTTGTTGTACGTATATGTCAGCGACAAGCAGAGTGAGCTGGAAGATTTTGCTGTACAATACATTGATCGTTTATTCCTGCGACATGAAGCGTTTTCAGAATAAGATGTACTGCACTGCTTTGACCTTCTTCAACTCCGAAGATATTCTCCAATGCCTGTAGGGCCTAGAGGTATCATGGCATTATAAACTCTGGGAAAGTCTCTAGTGAACACTGCCAAAGACTTTCTATGTGATCTTGGGTATGTCGGTATGTGGCATAGTCTCTCCTTTTTCCATCTCTAAAATGATAATCCCTTATGCTTCTGGAAAAATTATCACCATTACTTTAAATTACAAAATTTTCATATTCTTGAGTGTAATGACAAACACTACAAACTACTACCTGAATATTTATAAACAGCAGCAAGTTGGACTTCTTATAGCTGTTGTGTTGCTCAACCTGCTCAAGTAATCAAAACAATTATTTTTCTTTCATTTTTGTGTGCCTTTCGCTTAGTGACACAAAAGACTTCTCTGTGAGGATTTTTAATGTCTTCGCTTCATATTTCTCCTCTGTGCTTTCCTGCTCCAACTGTGCAATGTTATTTCAGTTCATTACCATCATCTTAAAAAATAAAAACTTTTGGAAAAATGTGGTATGTAGTTCATATGCATAGAAAAACCAGGGATGATTCATTACAAATTTCATCATGTGTCTTGTCATACAGAATAAGCAATCACCAGAAGCTTGTGTAAGATGTAATTTCTACAATCCACTATGTATTTTTGAAATTTGTCTCAGGAAAAAATCTTTTGGTTATGGTTGTTTTGGGAGCAAACCAGTGGAGGGAAAAAAAAAAGATTTTCTTAAAGCAGAGGTTGTCTAATTTATATACCACACTCCTCCCAAAAGCATGTATCATTTTCACCAGGTTTATATAGTCATCAACTGGATTTGATGGTGAAACTGAAAACTAAGGTAGCAATGATTTTCAAAGAGAATCATAATGAGCATGTTCACTTTGGAAAAAAAAAAAATGGATCTATTCTTTCATTGGATCTATTGCCATTCACATGACAAATTCACTCCTATTTACATTGGTGTCCTGTCAATTAAATCTACAGAGATGTACTTCCATTCAAGAGAAAAGAACATGTTATTAACCTATGTTCCTGAATGAATTAAACAAAAAATGTTTACTACAGGACAAATTATTAAATACACTGAGACATTCTCAGCTGGTATCAATTTACAGAGCTTCACTGAAATCCAAAGAGGGAATCTGATTCATAGTAGGAAGGGAGCTAGAAAATCATTTGTACATAGCTCCAAAATCACATCAAATAACTCTTTAGGCTTGCAAAGGCTCCCCGTAAGACTGGAGTTTTCTGACTTCCCTTATATTCACTTACCCACCAATGCTGTTCTAGTAACTAAGCCAGGATATGCAGTTCACAGTAATTCAAGGTTAAAGGAAGAGCTCACCAAAATATTGTGATAATAATGAAATAATTTTTGATGATACAATTACAAAATTGAAATGAAATATCTGAAATAAAAATGGAGTGTTTGCTTCTGTTTTGATTCTCCTGCCTTATTTTGACTTAGTATTTAAAAAAAAAGAAAAAGAAAAAAATCTGTTTCAGTCTAACCAGTCAGTTCTTCAAGATGAAATCTCCCTAGCAGTGTAACCGCCTACTCATTTCATACTGCCTTAAGGTACGTGTGATTTAAGCAAAATCTCATCTGTTGGCAATTGAGGCAGAAAAATTCACAGCAGCTGGTATCAGGAACTACTAAATTGTTTCACCTCAGGAAATGAATGACTGGACAATACTATGGTCTGATTAAGGTCTAATTCTGTCTCGCATTTTTTATGACAGTCCTATTCAAAAGGCAACTTCAACATAAAAGTTGAAAACAAGATACCTCAAAAAAGGCATATAGACTCTCTGTGATGAGAAGCCCAACAGGTTTTAGGTGAAACAAAATCAATAGCATCTCAGAGGGAATGATGGAAGGTACCAACGAAACAGTAAGATAACAGATACCATGTTCAATCACGCATGCCAAGAGGATCTGTATGCAGCAGGGTACCAACATCTCCACAAGGGTGTTCGTTTTTTGGTGCGTGATGATAAAATTCAGGAAGGCAAGAGGGTTTCCAGTTAGCCATCAGTAGTCCACCTCCTGCAAGTGTCCCAAACATGTGACTGTCAGGGGCCCAAAAAACAGTTTGTGTCAAGATGGCAGGAAACCTCTAGGACTTCTGAGGCAGCCCTCTAAGCACTTTCAGGCAGCACTGCCTAGGAAGTCACACAAAGGGTCTACTGACAGTTTTCTTCATAACTACCATAAATCCCCTGACCAAATTGCACACTCTTGCGGGTCATTTCAGTAGAAAGTTTTGCCTTTTCTGCCACTATGAGAAAGGGTGCTCTGTATGAGACCAGGCTATCAATTTCTTATGGTAAAACAGAGTTGTATTTCAGAAATGGAGAAATGGAAATTTCATCATTAGCATCATTGGGACTACCCTATATGAACCAATACTCGGTAGGAATATTTGGGTTTAGAATTCACCCACTGTATTCAGATCTAAGCATTAAGAGATAGTTAGCCATCAGAAGACAACCACGAACAGTTACTTTGTACACGTACTTTTCAATGCACAATATTTTATTATGCTCTTACTTTATCAGAAAATCTGGTAAGACTGCATTGCATCTCTACGTTATTTTTGTTATTCTCATTAGAGGTTATAAAGTCGTCATAGTTTACTTAAGATCTTTTTACATTAAAAGTATGTGGAAAAAAAATAAACCACAAGCAAAACTACTGTTTATTGCAGACAGATGTCTCAAAAAATATTTCCTTATGGAAACGGATGTTACAGTTTTGTTAATTTAAAAAACTGTTTCCACAAAATAGATCTCCTAGAAGAAACTAATCCTAAAAGAAACTAATATTACTTTTGATTTGTCTTGAAAAATCCTCACTTCAAGGACAGGGCTCAACAAAACACAAGGTACCATTCCAGTTTTCAGATACATACTGAATTGTCCTGAGAAAATGTATTCTGAAGGTAAATCTTGTACACCAAGTACCCAGAACTTTTAACTAATTCTTTACCAAATAATCTCTTGGGAAAACAGAAGATGAGTCATTTGTTTGATGTGTATTAGCATAAGAAGGTAGTCTCTGAAAGTTATCTTTTGATAAAGAAAATGCTTTTAACAATCAGCCCTGTAAAATTAACTTCTCGTCATCATCAATGAAAACTGCATCTGAAAATGAAGTGAAAAAGCTATATTATCCATTGTTACATCACTTTTTTATGGCAATAGAAAGGTAGCAATTACAATAAACTATTTGCCTAGGTCTGTGATTTCATTTATGTAAACTAGATAGTTACATCTTTTTTTTTTTGTCCAAAATCTTCAGAAAAAGGCAAAACCTAAGTTATCAAAATATAAAGAATTCAGCAGGTTCAAGGAAACTTGGAAATTATAGGAAATATTTTCCTTCTATTCTGATGTTTTATGAAGTACAGTGGCATCCTATGCATTAAACCACCTTGTGTTATTAGAAGTGCACAACAGACAAAAGAAAAGAATCTGTAAAATCAACAAAAACAGTAAGGAGAGATTACATCTTTCTTTCTTAGTAACACATTAATTAGAAGTGGACCAAACCATCATGAGCTGTATCAGCTCTGGCTTCCAGCTTCTCATCCAATTTCTCTCTGTAGGTCACCCACAGCCCAAAGTGCCCTAAAGGTGATGCATGGCACACACTACTACCCTCATGGTCAGCCACAGCTCTGCCTCCAAGGCCCTCACCAGGCATGGCTCTTGCAGCAAAGTCCCACACACTGGAGGGACCTCACAGGTGGACTACAGGGTGAGCTGCCCTGACCTTCCCACTCAAAGAGTGGAGCATTTCCCAGCAGGGGATAGCAGGGGCTGATACCCAGGATCAGCTTCAGCACCCGTCACCGCCACCAGTGATCCATCAGGGAGCACACTGCCACAACCATCAAGAGCTGGGCTCCTCCTGTAGCTCCCTGCAAGACCTCCATCATGACCTCGCAACTGGCCACACTGGGCCCTGTCCCCTGGGCCGCAGCAGGCACCACCTCCCATTGGCTAGGAGGCACCATCCAAGGGACAGCAGGGATGCAGATTCTTGGCAGATTGTTTCACTAAGGAGAGTCAGAACAGCAGCTGCATCAGCAGATAAAATACAAACAAGCTTATCTGTACATGCCCTCCTTTGAGCAGTGCCAGGGGTCAATGCTGGGGTAACACACACCACTCGAAAGAAATGTGAGTATAGAACAGAAGGGCAGACCAGCTGGAGGACCCCAGCTTGGTCTAGCACTAGTTTCTTCTCCAGTGTTTACAAAAGCCATGGAGTCTGCCCTCCAGCTGTGGGGCTTATGGTTGATTTAGATCTAACCTGAAGAACAAATCTTGTACCTGGGCTGCAACATGCAAAACTACAGCCAGCTGATGACTGCATGAGAAATAGCCCAACTATTTGGAAGGCCAAAGTGTCACCTACTTATACCTAGGAGCCTTCAAAGTCTTGAGGCATGGCTTGAGGCTTATGGATTAAGGCCATGTTTTTACATGTTACATAGGTTAAATCAAGGGGCTTATAGTACCAATATGACTAGAGGAACATTCAGGAAAAGATGATCTTTAACGATAGTCTGCTTTTGTCTACTGTGTGGTTGCCTTATCCTTCTTCAAAAGACAGAGCTTCATTGGGCAAGAATATGGGGGGAGGGAAAAAATTATTGAAGTTCTGTGAATATCTCTGGGAGACATCTGGATACCACTGTGAACTCCAAACTGAGAGTATGACACCTTTATTTTATTGAATGAGTGAACAAATCATTTATGTCCTTGACTTGGTGCGATGGTGAGATATAAATACAGCAGCCTTCGTAGATGCATGCTGCTGCTGCATTCTCTAAGACATAAATAAATAAATAGAACTACAGGCTTGACTGTTATCCCTGTGAGTTCCCCAAATGCATTCTGATTGACAAAACAGGAAAAAAAACACTAGAACATCTATGAGCATGTTACTGAGGCTGTGGCAGAAGAAGTGAACAAAACTGTTTAAAAAAATATTTCAGCTACGTTATTCAATATGCTTGCTGTTTTGCTGCCTGAATAAGTTCCAGGCTTTTCTGTCATTATTAACACCTTAGAGAGCTGCTGAGTGTGTTTTGCTTCTGCCTGAGACTCTAAAGTAGGAACAGTCAGAAGTTTTCAGAGGCATTTAGGTTCATCATTGCAATTCCTCTTTAACATCAACAAGTAAGAACCTATGTTGCTTGCAGGACCTTAAAAAGGAAAGGCAGATTGGTTCATTGTTTGGAGCTTTGACTAATACAGTAAATTCTGGTTTCAGTTTCTCATCCCATCATTTCCTTTCCTTTGCATTGTTGCAATTCATCTGAGTACACAAGGCACTAAGATTTGATGGTTAAAGACTTGCACCTTAAAAATGAACATGAAGTTACCATGCTTTAGAAGACTACAGCACTTCAGAACTATCACATCATCTTTGATGAAACAATCAGTAACAACTTTAGTTCCAAAAGATTCCAGGCCTCACTAACAGGACTGCCATCAAAACATCTGATTTAAAAACATCCCCCAACCTAAACAGTTTTTGGAAAAATAACGTCTTGAATTTCCTTTCCCTATGATACAGAGTTTGGCCTCCTCTTCAGCTGGATCCAGATGCCGTTATTTGGACGAAGAATCAGCTCTCCTGCCAGACCAAGCTCTTCTTGCTTTTGACTGCAGTCCACCCAAAAGCGCCGCAGGATGAGGGCTAGAAGGGCTTTCTCTTCCATCTGTGCAAAGCGCTGACCTACACATCACAGTGCAGCAAAAGAGGTGTTACTGTCAGGTTTGCAACTTCAGCCACTTCTGCGTTTACGTGACCACAGCAATAACCTCAGACACACAGCACAGCAAGGACTGCTCGTCTGCCTTGAAAATGGAACCGGGTGTGGGCCAAAACAGAGGTTATATGAACACTAGTGAAACTAGCACTTTTCCTGCATGACACCTCTGGCCTTCCTGGGGCAACATATAGTCCATCTTCCTTCCCATAGCGCACAGCACCTGAACAGTAGTCAATGCCATGAACTTCACACAAACCTAACACAAAGCATAGCCTTGTCATATCTCTCGGATGGACTAGGCAGGGAAGGAATGGTTCAGAGACCAGAGCAGAAGGGGAAAGGAGAAGATGGAGCACACTGACTGCGGAAAGAGACAAATCCCTCTATTTGATATATGAAAAGAGGAGAGAAGGAAATGCATCTGCAACAGAATGACAGACAACCCTTTTCTCAGTGAACATTAAACATTACACATAGTAAAGATCTGCTAGCATAGAGGCCAAAATTCAGCTTAGATTTCAGAGAAAGCTGGATGAAGAAGAAGGAGAATAGAACAGAGGGAAAGCAAACTAAAATGTCACAGTCCAGGAAGTTCACCTAACCTTAAATTATGGAAACAGGGCAAAAAAAGTCAGTGTTCTATATCTTCTCTGGGTTCCTTTTTATACAATATGTACAGATAGAAGTCTGTACACACGCATACACAGTGATGGATGTCTGCAAACATATTTATGAACCACCTCCCATACTCTCCTATACACTCTCCTGTACACCTATGAACCAGCTAGATACGTTACCCTAAATTAGATTCCACTTCATAACGCATGGGAAGACCTAGTCTACTATTCATATGTGAAGGACATCTATTCCCAATGAGACAAATGTGAGAACTTAAAAAAAAAAGAAAAGAAAAAAACAAATTTCACATTCCTGTAAAAAGCAGGATAATTCCTGAAAAATTCCTGAACCTTTTACCCTTAAGAACAGTGCAGGGAAAATTCATGTCTTTTCATATGTTCTGTAAAGTAAAGAGTGATCTCTGTTTTCCTGGCACTGAAAAATGTCAAGTGTCTCAGCGAGACCTGAAGAGCTAACAAGTTCTAGGAAAACAATGGAAACACCAGAGCAACCATGGTATCAGAAAAAGGAAAAGAATACATCAGCTGCAGGCTGCACGGGGACAGCCAGCTGAGATCATCAGATAGACGGATAAGACATTTCCAGAGCAAAACAAATGCAGAACATTTGCCTTCTCTTGCTCCACAATGATCTATCTTGCTGACAGAGGACCAGAAAGCTGGCGGCAATCCTACCCTGACACAGCAGCCCATTAACATGCTGCAAGGCTGCACAGGCAATGGGAAGGAGACAACCGTGTAACGTACACTGCACTCTGGGAAGAGAAGAACCTCGTGGGAGAAACGCAAAAGATGCTTGCAGCTCAAGTGCAAAGCAGACACGTCAGACAGCACTCAGAATTTTTCAGGGAAGACCATCAAGTACATTGCAACCCTAATCTCTGACACGCTCACTGCTGCAACGGCCACCACACCAAGAGCAGCACTGCCACATTCTCTCTGGGCTTTCTCTTCAAGTACATACCGATGCAGTTCCTGGGACCAGCTGAGAAGGGCACGTAAGCATACGGGTGCCTTCCCCTACAGTTCTCAGGGAAGAACCGCTCAGGTCTGAATTCCTCCGGGTCAGGGAAGATCTCTGGGTCTCTGTGCAGTGCATAAGTTGCAACAAGAACATTTGTGCCTTTTGGTACCTGATAGCCTTCTGAGGGGGAAAAGAGAAAGGCAGGAGAAGAGAGTCAACTCAACAGCAAAGTAAGTGACTTCGATAAGCAGCTGTACAGAACAAAAGCTGCCATTTACTTGGGAAACACCTTTGCCGAGAAGGTGCTAGCAAGATTCAAAGTGGCAAACACAGGCAGAACAGCATACTACTTACTAATATAGCAATCCTCCCGCAAGGTACAGGCAAACAGCGGAACCGAAGGGAAGAGACGAAGGGCTTCTTTCACAACACACTCAAGGTACCAAAGCTTCTTCAAATCCTCCATCGTGACAGGACGCTCACTGTTACCTGTCCAAAACACACGCATGGGGCATTAAGGCCGACACATCCCATTTTCAGGGAACCAAACACACCCCTCAAAAGGCTTCCAGCTTTCTCAAGTACCAGCCACAAGACTACACTAAACTCTGGTGCTGGAAGTTGGGAATCCTTTTTCTCAGCGGTGACTCTCACAACACTCTTAAACTCTTCCTAGCACACCTCACTCCAGCCCGCCCCCTTCCAGGACCTCTCGCCAAGTCCCAACAAGCACACAGCGGAAGCTCCTACCCCGACACACATCAGAACCACGCGCCATGACCTAAGGACCCAACGCTGGCTGCAGCCTTCTCAGTACTCTCTCACAGGCATCTCCCAGAACTCATCCCAACCACCTCCAGCTAGTGAAAGCTCCACAGCAGCCGCAGGGCACGTGCCAACCTCCCCTTTGACGTCTAGGCTTACAAAGGGCAATCCACCGTTGCCCCGCCCACAAAGGCCAACACCTCCTCTACCCCAATACCCCAAGAAAGAGGAGAAACGTACCAAACACCTCGTCCAGTTCTCCGTGAACCTTCTTCTGGACTTCAGGATTATGCCCCAGTAAGTACAGCACCCAGTTCACAGCCGCAGCCGTTGTATCGTGGCCCTAGAGGTCCAGATTCACAAAGACGCTCACTTCAACGCTATTCCTGCGCATAGGCAGCCTGCGAAAATACTCTGGCCTGCGGCTATTACGGAAAGCCGGACTCAGTAGTCCGACAACCAAGAGAAAAAGAAAAATCAAGAGCGCGGAACTCTATCCGTCACATTGATTATCACAGCATAACGAGACCCATGATTCAGTCAGGTGCCTGAAAACTGACCCAAAAGCAGAAACGGGTTGAAACACCTCTGCTAGCCAGCAAACATCCCTCTTTTCTGTCTCCTGCAAGTTTGCCATTCCAATTAGCAGGATCTTTCCTTTGCCTCTAAGTTTCAGAACCAGATGCTTGCTGCTCTGCTCTTCTTTTTATTCAGAAATCGACTGATTGACCCCTCGTGGCTCTACAGAGATCAGCAATTCTCGCTCTCATGAAGCGCTGGATGAGCTCTCCACTGAGGGTAGTTCCTGTTTCTGCCATCACAGAGCCAAACAGGCACACGTTCATCTCTTGATTTATTATTCTACGACCTAAGAGCTGGACTGCCGTCAAATGCCACAGGATGGATAACAAACACAATTTATCATCTATTTTTTGATAGTTTTGTCAATGTCTCTGTCGTACCGGAGGGAAGACCCACGACTGCAAAACTGTTTTGGACACGCCTTTGAAGACTTAACTGAATTTTGAACTCATACAGCTTTTCTGATCCAAATTTCTTAAGAAATTTACAGGCTTTAAAATGTATGAAGCACATTGCACTGATTATCACAGTATAATGAGACCTATGATTCAGTGCCTGAAAACTGACCAAAAACAGGAAAGGGTTAAGTCAAACAAGCAAACATCCTGCTTCCATCTCCTTTGCCTCCTGAAAGCTTTCCATTTCAGCTGGGGGAACTAGCATGGTCTTTCCTTTGTATTTTGTCTCAGATGGGCACACTCACTGCTTGCTCTTCTCTCCTCTTCAAAAATCCCTGATTGGCATCCGCTGCTCTACACAGCTCAGCAATTCTCTTTCACTCTACCCACCCTCAACTCTTGTAAAGTGTCAGATAAAACTCTCCAACGAGGTACAGCAGAGCATTCTGGCAGCACATCTACACAGCAAGATGGACCTACATTCACAACATAAGACTTGAGGCACCAATAACCACCACAGGAGTAATATGAGACAATATGTAATCTTCATGGAAAAGACCTATCAAAAAAGGTTGAATGACGGACAGTACAGTGGCCACAGGAGGGAAGAGTTCTTTGTTTTCTGTGAAAAACGGTCGGCTACTGCAGGCTTTCGGCACTGCATAAAACTTGAACGGTAAGGGAAACAAATAGGAGACAGGAAACAAGGAAAAGAAGGAAACAGAAAAAGTTGATTAGCATAGGATTTTGGTACTAAAAGAGTGCACTTGTAATGAAGTTCAGGATACTGGGCCTCTTCGAAATCTCACTATGGAGCAGCTGAAGAACGGTAACCTGGGAAGAGTTTTGCTGCGGTACAAAAGTAGTAACTGTTTCTGAATTAAGTTCCTCCGAGGTAGAAATCAGGTCCACCTAAAGGAGATGTGTAGAGAACTAACATCCTTGTTTAGATCCTTCATTGGACAGGGAACCGGGCAATATCAATGTAGAATCATGACAGACCAGGAGAACAAAGGAAAACCCTCAGCTAACGTTACAAGGTTCAAAACGTGAGGAGAATCAGTAAAATGCAAGGGAAAACACTGCAATCATCAAGAGCTCTCATTGCCACAAAGGAGGCTTTACAGCAGGAGCTGGGAGTTTCATGGCCCACATCGGCCATTAAGCTCTTATGGCTCGCCTGCTTGCACAAGTAGTGCCTGTTCACATAGGCAGCAACCGCTGGATGCGTGTGTCCAGCTTTTCACCAGGGGACACAGTTCTGGATATGAAAGCTTTCCATCTTTCTGAAACAACACTGTGCTACTAAAGGGTAATTCCTTGCTTTGAAGGATCTGTGCACTACCGACATTTCATACAGTCTCCACACTTTTGCTAAAACAAATTGACACTAAAAGCAACCTCCTGAGCTAAGTAGCAGTCACCATCTGTAAATGGTGAGTCTCTGGTTCAGAAAACAAACAAAAAATACCCGACAACAGCTCCCCTTGGGTACCTCAAACATGAAAGTATCCACTTCCTCACGAATGTCCCTGTAGCTCAGTTTGTTCCCTTTATCATCTGTTGCACTCAGAAGCATATCCAGGAAAGCTTTTCTCTTTTTGGAGCCACTTTCTTCACAGCTGTCATCAGCATCCCATTTCCCTTGCTTGGATTTTTCAAGTTCTGCAACTTTTTCTGCAATGACCTGAGATTCGAAACATTATATAAGAGACATGGAACACGTGCACACAGTCTGTCTACGCCACACAGGTTTATTTCAACTATTTTTAAAAAAGAGAAAGAGTTGAGTGTCCTCTTTTCAGGCTAAAGACCCAGAGACAGGTGGAGAGCTTCTAACTTCCCCAGCGTTCTCAGAACAGCAGAACTGAGTCCTTCAATTAACTAATTAGTATTGTTGTTAGTGACAAAATAACAGACAGGTAAGGAGCTGTCTTTCTGACAACCCAAATAAAAGACACTTCTCTTAAATGCATCTATATGAATGGAGATGAACCTCATTGCCCATTTGGAAGCTCTCTACTGAGCGCAGAACTTCTCTCCACCAGCTAGGCTGCATCATAAAAAGAAAGAAGCTATACTGTATCTGTAAAACTGTGAAGGATCTTGAGATTCCTCTCGTGCTCTCTTCCTTCTTTGAACAGCACAAATACACGATCAGGCCAAAGCCAAGGGCTCTTCTGTCGCCGTTGGATTAGATCACTCATCCTAGGGGCACAACAATTGCATTAAGTAACATTGCTTGACAAGTAAATTCACAGTACACTTTTAAGAGACAAAACCAACTGTACATGCCTCTGTTTAGCAGAACTAACCATAACGTGTGGGTTTAAACACATTCATCTGAAGGGAAGGCTGTCTGTCTTTGCTTCCTGTTTTTATACCGTCTCAGAATTTCTGTACCTGTCCCAGCATTTCAGCATCACCATGAATTACATCTTTAAGCAGTGATTTCTAAGAAGATCATATAACTCTCATTCAGGGGGAATCCTCTTGAAACAGACATTTTCAGGCATCCAGTTCCTCTCCACATCCTTAAAGCACTGATCATATCCTGCAAAGATTTACAACTTGTGCCAGCTCTCCAAAATATCTGCCCTGTGACCTCAAATAGCTGTCTGGAAGCCCTACATTCCTACCTGTCTGTTGATATGCCATATAAGGCACACAGCACATGAGAAGTACTTGAAATAAACAATAAGTCATGATGTATGAGTTCAAGTACACTGGAGCATGCTCTTAAGGGCTTTGTCATTGCTATTCAGCTCCTTCACATGCTTTTGGCTGCAGTAAGGGACTTGCAGGAGCAATAATTACCTGTAGACCCATTTCAGGCCCACTTGCAGTACCAATTGGGTACTGGGAAAAAGGCAGGAAACCAATGAGAATCAAGCCCTCTAAACTCTACCCCTTTTATATAACGTACCTGTCCCAACAAGTCGCATAAAAGGAAAGGAGTCAGGTGCCCCAAGGGGCTACCTATTGTTTGGGTTGGAACAGCATCGTGGTACAAACACAGACCATGGCTTTTCCTAACCCACTTGACAGCCACATACAGTTTGAACAGGGTAAATACCACTGCAGAGGAGCAGTGACTCAGCTTTAACACGCTGCCTAAGTTCGCACCCTCTCAGCTCTGGCAATCATGCTGAGAAGCAACACCGCAGCACTTTTTACCTCCAATGCCAGTGGACCAAGTGAATGGCAGCTGAACCCTCTTCACAGCCTCAGCCTCCTATTGCATATATCCATCAAAGAAGGAGTCTCAAAAACTGTAGCAGTTTTTCCTGCCGTTTTGGCTTTCTGCCTCCTCCTGCGCCCCACGACCTCACCACTTCCTCACACAGTAAATGTATTCCTGGACATGGGCAGTAGCAACTCCAAACCAACTATAAAGTAGCCTAGGAAGGTCTCCATTTACCTGTAAACAGCACGAACATACTCGGAATCCTTATTCTCCTGAGCACCCACATTCCTGCCCATCGCAGTTTCTACAAAGAGGAAGTGACCAAGAGGTCATGAGCGGAAAGTGAAATGGCGAGTCACTGCACACAGTAAGTTCTTATTGCTCACTGCCTCCAATTGGCACCTCAGCATCCCCTTCCATAGGTAAATACATTCATCCTTTCCCAGGTGATGGGCTCACTTTACACTTCCACACCCAAGACTTCTGCTCCTCAGCACAGACTCAGTTGAGATTTCTACCTCCACCCTGCCCACAAACTCAGCTCACCACTCGTCTGCTCACAGGCACGCAAGACATCCCAAGAGAAAGCACAGACTGGGTGGTGGGGCAGAGGGCATGGAAATACATTCACACAGTAAGCAGGGACATCTCTCTTCAACTAGCTCCTCACAGGAGACTGGCACACAGCAGCAGCACACGCACGAGCCTCTGCATCATTCACAGCCCCTCCACGATAACCGAAGAGAACTTACCACAGATTATATCAAGGGCACACAGAGTGATGTCTAAGAAGACATCAAATGGCTCCTTGTCAACATGCTTCTCAAGTTTCTCCACTAAAATACTCCCTTGCTCATTCATAACTTCCAGAAAGTCGGTTAAGATTGCAAAGTGGAACGTGGGAGTTATCATTTTCCGTCGCGTCCGCCACTTCTCTCCAGTGCTGCAAAATTCAGAGGGCAGAAGGAAGTGTTAAAACTTCAGCTCGGAGACAAGACTCCCAGCATCACACAAGTACACACTCAAAACTGCAGTCTGCTACACCTTCGCACACGGACATGCTTTTGCTGACTCTTCAAGCTGTCCAGAGCACTCTCCAGAAGGAGCCTCTAGGACGCGCTTCTTGCTCCAGCTCTCTCCTAAGCACAAGCAGCCATTTCTCTAGCTGCTGTCACCCAAAGGACATGCCAGCAAGCCTTCAGGCAATACAGCCTCGGGGTCACTCAGCGCACAGGGTCAGAGGGAGTGAGCAGAAGGCATCCATCTGTAGGACAAAATCAGCATTCAGCATCGAGGCACCAACTCGTCCCATCTTCTCTGAAAATCTCCACCTACGGCTGCCTTCATCTACTGACTACGCAGGAAATGAGCCACTGAGGACAATGAGGGCCCAGGAACAACAGGCCAACCATTGCCTCGAGGACAGGTTTCTTCAAGTGCTTCTTCAGAGAGAGACAGCCACCTTCCACACATCAGTGAAAAGATCAGGCAGCCCCAGGGAGTGACACCAGCCTCCGGGGGTTCTTGTTTGCTTGTCTGAGTCAGGTGCCCCACAAACACACAACTTCCTGCTCTGCTTTTAGCACAATCTCACCTCTTCTCCCACTAGCCTGCTACTGGTGCACTTCTTCACAGGGCAGCCAGCTCATCAGCTCATGGTCTCTGACCACAGCCCTGACCAGTGAAGTTGGAACATTTGCCTCTCACTGCATTTTTTGCAAAGCACAAGGAAGCCAGAACACCCCTAGAAGCCTACCTGGAGATAAAATAACCATTCAGGAAGGAACAGTAACAGGGAGCATATGCCATTCTGGCCACCAGGGACCTCAACTCTCTGCCCTTTGCTACTGATTACCGCCCTTCACGCTTACAGAATCACAGAATCGTTTAGGTTGGAAGGGACCTCTGGAGATCACCTAGTCCAACCTCCCTGTTCAAGCAGGGTCACCCAGAGCATATTGCCCAGGGGCAAAAATGAAACACAGCAGGATAAAGCCTCAGCCTCCCACGTATACTTGCACCTCCTGCACTACATGACCACAGCTGGCTCTTATAACACCATGGACCCATTACTAAGGATAAGGAAAACCTTGCACTACCCCTCCAGGCAGCAGAGGACAACAATTCCTCTTCCCACTCCCAACTTGCACTCTTTTCCCAGGCTTTGCTTCTTACAAGCGTCCACTTCACAAGGGAAATCAAGAACAGGGTGCGGATCCTCTCCTATCCCGCCCCAAAGCATTGCCAACCTCAGGACCTTCACACAGATTTGGACTCCTCTAGCCGAGATAAGCAATACAGACTCATACGTCTGCCAGAGTCCAACTATGCTGGACAATCAGATGTGACAACAGCCAAAAGATCTAGCGCGCAACATCAATGACTAAAAGATACCATGTGCCAGAGGACATCACTTTTCAGAACTTAAATTCACTCCACTTCCAAGATTCCAGAAAGAAAAACTAGCAATGGTCATTCTCCCTCTTGAAGGCCTTTGAAGTCTAGGAATGACAGTGAACATGCAGAGAAATAAACAAACACTCTTGTCTGCAACCACAAGAGCTGAAAAGCTGCTGAGAAATAAATAATGCCAAAATCTTATTATCAGATACAAGGTACTAAAGAGCAACCAAGACCACCAAAAGAAATAAGACTTCTACAGCTGTCATGTACATGCCTCTACCCAGGGATACTGCTCAGCAGTGCTGCCACCAAGCACTCGTCCTGTCAACTACTCCACAAATTTTAAAAAAACAGTTCTTCACCTGCATTTTACTATACCTCGTCAGAAGTCCAGTGCCCAGCCACGGCTGTAGAAATTTGTACAGGTAGGATTTCTCTATGTGCTTCGAACTGCTCAGAATAACCTGTCAGAAAAGAAAGGGAGGGGAAAAAGCATCCCTTGTTAGATGGAGAGCAATTACATCAGCTGATGTTACTTCACGCATCCTCAGTCCCTCCACTGAGATGCCCCATACCTCAGCCAGGGAAACACAGAGCTTACATAGGCTACCCTTTCAGTAAGCATGCAAAGCGTCAGGAACAGTGAAGTTCTCAAAATCTACCACAACCCCAGTCCTCCTCAAAATGAAGCATCTCCATTGCAAGTCACTGGCAGAGCTCAGAGAGAACACAATGGTTTTCAGCCTCAACCAAACCCACAAAGATTACCTCCTCTTCCATTAACATCTACAGAAAAGCTAGGTGTCTGCAAGGTCCAAGCAATGTGCTCCTCATTCACTTGTTTATTTCACATGGAATAACACAGGATCTCATTCCTCTCACTGTCTAATAGGCTCTTAGCAAGAAAAGAACCCAAGCTATCTACCCTGAGACCACCGAGATGAAAGTCTGGGACAATCAGCTCAGTTGCTTGCATGCTCCTTCAATAGCCTCACTAACGCTCACAAGGCAAAGCACACATCAAGGCTCCCTACAGCTCCAGCAAGGCATGCACTTTGCATCGCATTCTCAAATCACCAAAGCAGCATCACTCAGTGTCAATAGGGCACAGAATTGAACCTTGCATTTACTCCCTTGTAAAATCCACAGTATTTCAGTACAAGCTGGCACAAGGGATGCGTCCTGGGTATTTTCCAACGCTTCCCCAAGAGTGCTGTTTGGGGCAACGAGTCCTTGTTCCCAACCTTCCCCCGCACTTTTGGCCACTGTGGCAAACGCCGTATCATCACACAGTTTCAAAAGGCACTAGATACCCCAAAAAGGAAAGAACTCTACCACCTCAATTCAGGGACAAGCATTTTCAGTAGCAAAACTAATGACCCCATTTCATGGCATAAAGACAGGCCAATTGAGTTCTTATGCAAAAGAGTCAGACAGACACCAGTGCTGCAGCCAACGTTTCACAATGTTCTACCTCTATTTCAGTGGTCCAGTCTACCCTGCTATATCTACTAGTCAGATCAACTCTTGGGAGCAAACACTTTTCCAGAGGTGAAAAACAAAGCTGAAGGAGACACTTCTTTCTACCAAACATACTGATTTGCTGCTCTCATACGCTTGCCCCCGTCTTTAGTACTGAATTTTTCCAAGATCAGGCCTTCTCTTTCACACTTTGGGTCTTTCTTTAGCAACAGGTCAGACGATAACGTCCAGTGACATCTCAACATCATTGCAAGCCCTTATTCTCAAAATGTTTACAGAAAGAACGACATCACTAACATGTTGGGCACTGCTTTTATGTGACTGCACAATATGTAGGAAGGAGGAGACAAGCACACTCACCTCCACACTATCAGGGTCATACAAAATCATCACAGGCAATGGTCCTATCCAAAGTTTGAACAAAGGAATATTCCTGAATTCTTTAAAATAACGTTGCAGTTGTTTAAAAAATCCTGGAATGTAAAAACAAATTAGAATAGAGAAAAGTGTTTGTTGAATAGATAAAAATTCCGTAATGATCCGCTTTTCGTAATATTTCGCACAATGTTTGCTGTAGTTTTACCTTGCTACTACAACCAAGCTGCATTTTTTGCACTCCTATATTAGCTGTACATTGCATATATTGCAGCAGCACTATGTCTATGCTCCTGAACGCATTGTATTCTAGAGCAAGCTGGGCTTTCTCTAGATAAGACAGCTTTAAAGCTATCTCAGCGAACTGCAGCATGAGAATTCATTTGTACTGTACTCTGTAATAACTTGACGTAGATCAAACTTGATTAAGACTATGCTCATATTTCTGCTTAGTTGACACTAGCCAAAATGCTTCATTAAGATACTTGTTTACTTTCAAGGTAAGATATCAAGCCTTTTCTTATCCAAGAGCTCATCAACAGGTACTAAACTTGTGATGCACACAGAAGCATTGTAGTACATTCTAATAGCAGAGCAGTGAACATCTGTATCACTTGAAATGTCCAGTCTCTGATAGTTGGTCGCCTGAAGAAAATCTTAGGAGCCCTTACATTGACATCGATGTTCACCTGCAAACAAATTATTTCTTACTCCTACCTGCCTACACGCTTTCACTCTCTCACAGCCCTAATCATCAGTGACAATTCACAATTCTAGCACAGGCCTCTGATGGCAGACTGTTCCAGGATTAAACTCCACTCGCCCCTTTGGAAACCTTAGTGAAGGATAAATGACACCTTATGAGGTGTTGGTGGATCTGGCAATTCAGATGTCCTCGCCTCTAAGGACACAAAGACTCCATTAATCATTTATGTCAGAAGGAACCTCCAGAGCTCATCTAGTCCAACTTCCTGCTCAAATCAAGCTGCTCAGGGCCTCATCCAGTTGAATTCTGAATATCTCCAAGGATGGACATTCCACAACCTCTCTGGGCAACCTGTTCCAGTATTTGATCATGCTTATCTTGGAAAAATTCTGTCCTTTTTACGAAACCTCATTTCCTATGTTGCAGCCTGTGCCTGCTGCCTATTGCCCTAGCACTGTGCACTTTCAAGAAGGGTCCAGTTCTGTCCTCTCTACCTGCCCCCTCTCTCTTCCCCCACCCCCTTATGCAGCTAAAGACAGCAGTTACCTTCCCTTGAGCTGTCTCTTCTCCAGGCTGAACACACCCAGCTCCCTCAGCCTCTCCCCCTATGCCACATGCTCCAACCTCTTGACACTGCACTGGACTCAGTCCAGTATAGCAATGCCTTTCTTGTACTGGGAAGACCAAAACTGGACTTACTACTCCAGGTGCAGTCTCACAAGTGCCACACAGAAGGGAATGAACATTTCCCTTGACCTGCTGACTGCACTATTGCTAAAACTGCCCAGGATGCCAGCTGCCACCTTTGCCGCAAGAACACACTGCTAACCTCTGTTCAATCTGGTGTCCACAGGCACCCAGATCCTTTTCTGGGCAAGACCTGGCACTTGCTTTTGTTTAACTCGATAAGGTTCTTGTCAAGGGCATTTCTCCAGTTTATCAATGTGCCTCTGAATAACAGCCCTGCCCTCCAGTGCACTGACCACTCACCTCAATTTGATATTGTCTGCAAACTTGCAGAGAGTGCACTCCATCCCATCAGTAATAAAGATGTTAAACAACACTGGCCCCAGCATCAACTCCTGAGAGATACCACTAGTGCTCAGCTGCCAGTTGGACTTTGTACTGGTTGAGTCCAGCAGTCCAGTCAGTTCTCCACCCACTTTATCATCCACTTATCCAGTTGCTATCTTGCCAGTTTGGCTATAAGGAAACCATCGGAGATGGTTTTGAAGACCTTGCTGAAGCAAAGTAAACAGCATCCGCTGCTCTCCCCTTGTTCACAGATCCACTTATCTGATCACAGAAGGCAATCAGGTTCATTCTACAATTCTAGAGGTGCTGTCTACTATCAGGATGTTTAGGGATTAAATCCCGCCCTTGTCCTTTCAGAAATCAGACTAAAGTATAAATGACTCCTTCCAAGGCCTTTGTAGAGTTGGCAGTTCAAAGGTCCCTAAGTCCTGGGAAATATACACAGTGCTTGTTTCCTAATAGATACTCAGACCAGGAAATGCATTATCTAGTCTTAGGTACAAGTTCTAATGACACTGCATCAAATTATTTTGCTATTTTCTGATTTTTTCTAACATGACTATGATGCAAGTTCACAATTTTCCAGAAGCACAAGAGTTTGTATATGGATATCAATAAATAAAATCATCTTTAGGTGGACCACAAGTCATTTTGCTTTTTACTATACAACTTTTCACTTTTTCTCTCAAATTTAAATTTTCTTAACTTTTACATTTTTGATGAAAAAAATCTAAACTACAATCTTCATTCATACTTACGGAAATAAACAGGAACAAAGGAGGAAGGTCCCGGGCTTAACTTAAGCTCGGAAGCTATGTGACTCCTGCTAACCAATGGGATTAGAGACTTTACAGAATGCAAGTCTCCCTCAAATTGCTTTCTGGAGACAGAAACAATGTTCTTTCAAAAAAGATTTGCCTCACAGTCAGCCTCATAATAACATTCTGACTGTGATCCTGCTACTGCTTCCCAAAGTCAACTTCAGGGGAAGCTGCTTGCCCTTGCTTCCATCAAATAAAGATTTCTTTCATCCGTATTTTGGAAGGACTAAGGTCAGATCCAGAGGAAACAATGCTGTCACAAGATGCAAGCGTACGCCCACTTGAACAGGCAAGAGGGATCATGTCTCAACATGTGTCAGCACTGGACAATGTGTGTGCCCATACTTGCATTCTTGTCTTCACCACATTCCCATGACCCAGTAATTCTCTCCTCTGGCTTTTCCTGGAAGTTAAAAAGCATGTCCTTTATACTTGAATGATCAGCACAAGTAGGAACATGTGTGAGTGCAGAGAGAGCAGACTGGCATACATAGGCATCACAAACACACTCAGAATGAGTCTGCTATTCTACTGACAGCACAGTCAGAGTAACTTTCATACTATGCCAGACTCCAAGAAACAAATGTAGTCCTGTTTAAAGTAGGGTGCCTAAGAGAAAAGGAATGTGTACCATGTTTACTCCTTCTCAAGCATAGGTCAAAAATAAAATACCATTCATCAATGCTGACACATAAACGTTTGCTTTTGAAGTAAGTATTGCAAATACTTAGGAAGTTATTTTGTTCCGACTAAAACTCAGCTAATTCTGCAAACTACCTAACAACTCAGCATGTTAAGTCCTTTGCACATGCTCGCTTGGGGGAAGATTATTGCTTTAAAAAAACAAACAAACAAACAAACAAAAAAAACCTTTTCTCCTCCCAAGTTAAAAAGCTTTGCTTGGACTGCAGATAATAACAATGCTAGAGATTCAGTGCTCTGTGTTGTGAAACAGTCCTTCCCATGAGAGCAGCCAAGCAGGCCTGCCTGTCACGAAAATTCGTTCTGCGACATTCATATTCCATATCATTAAGAATTAGAATTGGGTCCGAGTCTTACATTAAAAACTTGGGAGCCACCTTCAGGTTGGCCACCATCTAATCTTTGATTGATACTAATCCCACTTGCACAGCTCCTCTCCTCTACCCCATTTCTCATCCAGTTTGTCACCCATAGCCCCAAAGTGACCTAAAGGCAACGGAACACACTACAACTTGCACAGCAGCCACCGCTCAGCCCCCAAGGCCCTCACCAGCCATGGCTCCTGCAGCAAAGCTGCACACAGTGGAGGGATCTCACAGCTGGGCCACAGGGTAAGCTGTCCTTACCTTCTCCCTCCCGCTCAAAGAGCAGAGCGTTTCCCAGCAGGGGGTAGCAGGGGCTGATACCCGGGATGGGCTTCATCACCCACCACCGCCACCAGTAATCCATCAGGGAGCGCAGGGAGTACACCACCACAACTGCCAAGAGCAGAAAAGCAACCTCGGTGCCCCAGGAGAGCAGGTGGGTTCCTCCCTGCAGGACCTCCATTACCACCTCCTAGCTGGCTGCTCCACGCCTTGTCCCCAAGCAGCCCAGATGTCCTTTGTCTCCTGCAGCTAGTGTCACTGCCAGCTGCCTCCCTGCACTGAGCAGTGTGCCTGCACGCAACCTCAAGAGCAGGAGGCGGAGCTGGCACACACAGCCCAGAGGCACAGCTCTGTGCCAAGAAAATAAATAAAGAAATTACAAACAAGCTGGCAGATAAGATGGAATGAGAGCAGCTGAGAAGCTGCCTCTAAGCACTTCAGGAGGGCACAGCAAATAGGGTGTCAGGAAACAGTGCTGCTTCCTTGCCCTCACCTGACTGAAGTCACAGGAGCCTTCACAAATCACATATAAGGAAAAGCCACAAACTGCTGCGCGGGGGCTTTTTTGTTGATTTGGAGAAGATGGGGTTTGTTCAGCACTTTCTCTCTATGTCTGCATGTTTCAGATGCTCAGGGAATATCATTCCACAACACAGAACCATTCCAATGCTCTCCAGCTCATGATATCTGAAGAGTTTCAGGCGCTTAAGCCGCTCTTCTCTTGTGCTGGGTTGATGGCTGAAAGAGGTCACACAAACCAGAGCCCATACAGGCTTGAGATCAAGAGCACTGCAAAGCACAGAGATGCTTCTTTGCTCAAATAACCATCGCTGATCTCACTGCTGAATGCTCAGTCACAGCCTAAAGGGTGCCAGTAACACAGCTGGCAGCACCAGACAGTGTCACAGGTGCACTGGCCAGGTGGGAGCACAGGCACAGGAAAGAGGTCACGCTGTTCCTCCACAGCTCCTCTCCAAGGGCTGAGCCTCCAGGTGGGTCAGGCCAACAAGAAGCTTGCAAAGTGCTTGGGTAAAAGCAGTGCAGTACCCAGCACAAGCCCTGCTCTCTTCCTGCCTCCTCTCAGGAGCATCCAGAGTCTGCTCTCGCTGCTGCTCAGCTGCTAAGTGCCTGTTCCTCAAAGCCTCCAGTGCTCGGAAACCTTGGGGCTAAACAGAAGTCTGGCAAAAGGACCGCACTGCTCACATACGCAATAGCTTAGTCCAAGGCAGGATACACCACAGCAGAGGACCATAAAGACTTCAGAGGTACCAGTACCAAGACCCTGGCTGCTTTGCTGAAGATTGGCAAAACTTCATCCCCTATTCCTGAGGCCTGAGCATATCTCAAAAGCTTTCTTACATCCACGCTCACGCTTCTCCTGCCTATTTTGAACCAAATTTACTTCTAAACACTGGCATTTTCAGTAAATCAAACAGCAAAAACAAAGCAAGTAAGAGAAGAAACAGAAAAATCTCAGGATATCACAAGCTAAGGAAGGGCAGATGTCCAGTGCCAGCAGAGAGAGATAAATTTTGGCACTTTGCTCCTGCAATCTCCCAGCAAACGCTTAATCACAAATGCTGGCTCTGGCACTTTTCTGCACAGTAAACAGCTGGACATGAACTTTGATACTACTGCTATTATTTGTATTAGTTCATGACAGAAAGTAGCAGATATATACCCTGCTCCGCAAGCACATACAAAGGCAAACGATGCTGTCATCACTCCCTTCTTTCACAGAATGACAGAATGGTTTAGGTTGGAAGGGACCTCTGGAGATCATCTACTCCAACCTCCCTGCTCAAGCAGGGTCCTGTAGAGCATATTTCCCAGGATCACATCCAGACGGGTTTTGAATATCTCCAGCGAAGGAGACTCCACTACCTCTCTGGGCAACCTGTTCCTTTCATTCAAGTCACATCCCAGGAAAGAAGCAAGTGTGCAGGACTAAGAGGTTCACCTTCTGTCCTTGTGACATGGAGAGTAACATGTCGGGTGATACTTTGTTCTATGTAAAAACCTCACAGCTTACTGCCTTCCTGCAGCTGATAGCTAGCTGAAGTGGCAAACCGAGCCCGAGTCAAAAATCTGTTTCTTCTGTCTGCTGCTACTTCCTTCTCTACAGGAAAAACTGACAAAAAACAGTGTTATAGCAAGGAGGTGGTGAAAAGCCATGGGTGGGAGAGGGAAGAGCAGGAAACGCATCAGGAAAGACACCGCAGAATCCTGCCAGCAGCTGGCAGTGATGATGTGGCTACAAACAAAAGGCATCAGGTACACTGAAAGATGATGTAAAAAAAATGCTGAGAAAGACGAAATGGTGTGACACCCCTGAGGCCTATGTCATCAAGATGTGTCCTCATAAAGAACCTTCACTACAAGTTTCAAAGGAAGACGTTCGGCAGAGGGAGACACACGGCTATCAGTACAATTTTCTACTTGATCGTCTGGTCTGTTGTGATTAGCATGTGGGGCTGCGCTTCTTTGTCTGGAAAGCTATTTGCTCAGTGTTGGGCTTTAGGGGGAATACCAGTTACTGAAGCTTTGTTTTAGTAAATGTACATAGCAGTGCAAATCTGCTTTTACTCAGCCTCTCCCGTAATTGAAACCTTATTTGTGTTCACGGAAGGCATGCATCCTCTTCGGCGTCTATTTCAAACCACAGCTGCTATGCTAACACAGGCTTCCGCTAGTCCCTAGAATACAGGTCTGGATTCTTAGATAGGAAATCAACAAAATCATCATTACTGGAAGAAGAAAAAAAGGCTCAAAGAAAAGCAGGGAGAAAATGGATCCCATGTGACAGAAGGATGAAGGTAGTACACAACACATTCTGGAAAACTGTTGTATGCTCCTTTCATTAGTCCTTTACTCCAGCTAAGGAGTATCAGACCTTTTTTGCCATCCCTTGCAAAACACAGAGCATTCACAGTAAGTTCAAGGACTAACCAGCTGCTAACTTGGCAAGCATCACAATTCATTTACAGATGCAAGGTGTTTTTCCTTAGCAAGATCCTCCCTCTTTCTCAAGACACAAGGTTACAACAGCAGCTTAAGGGAGCTTATTTGTTGTTTATGTAGAAGGCTACAAGCACTAAAGAAAGCAAGAGCAAGACTCAACTTGTAGCCCACAGCAGCCATCACCTGCCCAAAGAAAGGACAAACACTGCACATCACCCGAAAAGATGCTGTCAGTGCTGAGCAGCTTAAGGAACAAACTGTCAAAACCAGAAAATAAACAAACAGTGCTAATAAGCATTTAGTAAAGTTCTTAAGATTCTTAAACTGATACCTGAAGAGGAGAAATATACATAAATATCAAACAAGTTTAACTTTTAAGGTAGGGGACATACACCCTCTGAACTACATGAAAAAGAATCCAACACTACGGAAAACACAGAAGCAGTCCATTTTGGGAAGGACATTTGACATCCTTCCACTGCGAGTCCCAGAGCCACTGGCCAAATCCACCCCTTCTTTTTAGGGCTGAAGTTTAAGGAAGCTAGCAAAGATGCATCCGCACAGATGACAGAGCAGTTTGGCACATGACGCCAACTGCTGAATGAATGGAACATAAATAGAAACCAGAACAAAGATAAAGACAACACAATTCCCAAATAAGACAAGCAACACCCTCAGTGATTACAAAATCCTAGAGCACCACGAAAAACTAGTCTCACTCAAGAAGTGATACCCCTCACCAGACTAGATTCTCCTCCACCAAAAACTTATCACTAACTGCCACGGTGACTGACACAGGCAATTTCCAAGCATGGATTCATGACATCATTATTTCTGTTATTTCTGAGAGACCAAGCTAAAATTCTGAATCATGTTTTTCAAGGGTGGAATTTGACCACAAAAAAAAACGAGTACAGCTTGGACATGGTCCTGACTTTGCAGGTAGCAAGAAAACTTAACACATCCTGGAATATTCCTTACCAACTCATATCTCCACAAAATACTTGTGATTAATCAAAGAACTACCTGACAAACCGGAAAACCTCACTTATTTTCAGAAAAAAAAGCATGAACTTTCCCTGTGATACAGAGTTTGGCCTCCTCTTCAGCTGGATCCAGATGCCGTTATTTGGACGAAGAATCAGCTCTCCTGCCAGACCAAGCTCTTCTTGCTTTTGACTGCAGTCCACCCAAAAGCGCCGCAGGATGAGGGCTAGAAGGGCTTTCTCTTCCATCTGTGCAAAGCGCTGACCTACACATCACAGTGCAGCAAAAGAGGTGTTACTGTCAGGTTTGCAACTTCAGCCACTTCTGCGTTTACGTGACCACAGCAATAACCTCAGACACACAGCACAGCAAGGACTGCTCGTCTGCCTTGAAAATGGAACCGGGTGTGGGCCAAAACAGAGGTTATATGAATACTAGAACTTGTCCTGCATGACACCTCTGGCCTTCCTTGGGGAAAACTCCTGTACCACTCAGTTCTCACGCAAAGAGGAGCAGAAAGCCAGCCCTGTGGACCTGCCATTTACCTAACGCAAAAAACACTGCTGTCACTAGTCTTACATAGAAAGGATAGGCAGGGAGGGAAGGGTTCAGAGATCAGAGGGGAGACAGAGAGGATTCACCAGATGGACTGAAAGATACAAATCCCACTACTTCATATACAAGACCAACAGTTGGTACAATTGCAACAGAATGATAAGCAATACCTTCTTTGATGAGTTCTAGCATGAAAAATTTCTAGTACAGATTTCAAACTTTGACTTAGATTTCAAGGTACGGGCACACAGCGGAACCGAAGGGAAGAGACGAAGGGCTTCTTTCACAACACACTCAAGGTACCAAAGCTTCTTCAAATCCTCCATCGTGACAGGACGCTCACTGTTACCTGTCCAAAACACACGCATGGGGCATTAAGGCCGACACATCCCATTTTCAGGGAACCAAACACACCCCTCAAAAGGCTTCCAGCTTTCTCAAGTACCAGCCACAAGACTACACTAAACTCTGGTGCTGGAAGTTGGGAATCCTTTTTCTCAGCGGTGACTCTCACAACACTCTTAAACTCTTCCTAGCACACCTCACTCCAGCCCGCCCCCTTCCAGGACCTCTCGCCAAGTCCCAACAAGCACACAGCGGAAGCTCCTACCCCGACACACATCAGAACCACGCGCCATGACCTAAGGACCCAACGCTGGCTGCAGCCTTCTCAGTACTCTCTCACAGGCATCTCCCAGAACTCATCCCAACCACCTCCAGCTAGTGAAAGCTCCACAGCAGCCGCAGGGCACGTGCCAACCTCCCCTTTGACGTCTAGGCTTACAAAGGGCAATCCACCGTTGCCCCGCCCACAAAGGCCAACACCTCCTCTACCCCAATACCCCAAGAAAGAGGAGAAACGTACCAAACACCTCGTCCAGTTCTCCGTGAACCTTCTTCTGGACTTCAGGATTATGCCCCAGTAAGTACAGCACCCAGTTCACAGCCGCAGCCGTTGTATCGTGGCCCTAGAGGTCCAGATTCACAAAGACGCTCACTTCAACGCTATTCCTGCGCATAGGCAGCCTGCGAAAATACTCTGGCCTGCGGCTATTACGGAAAGCCGGACTCAGTAGTCCGACAACCAAGAGAAAAAGAAAAATCAAGAGCGCGGAACTCTATCCGTCACATTGATTATCACAGCATAACGAGACCCATGATTCAGTCAGGTGCCTGAAAACTGACCCAAAAGCAGAAACGGGTTGAAACACCTCTGCTAGCCAGCAAACATCCCTCTTTTCTGTCTCCTGCAAGTTTGCCATTCCAATTAGCAGGATCTTTCCTTTGCCTCTAAGTTTCAGAACCAGATGCTTGCTGCTCTGCTCTTCTTTTTATTCAGAAATCGACTGATTGACCCCTCGTGGCTCTACAGAGATCAGCAATTCTCGCTCTCATGAAGCGCTGGATGAGCTCTCCACTGAGGGTAGTTCCTGTTTCTGCCATCACAGAGCCAAACAGGCACACGTTCATCTCTTGATTTATTATTCTACGACCTAAGAGCTGGACTGCCGTCAAATGCCACAGGATGGATAACAAACACAATTTATCATCTATTTTTTGATAGTTTTGTCAATGTCTCTGTCGTACCGGAGGGAAGACCCACGACTGCAAAACTGTTTTGGACACGCCTTTGAAGACTTAACTGAATTTTGAACTCATACAGCTTTTCTGATCCAAATTTCTTAAGAAATTTACAGGCTTTAAAATGTACAAAGCTGACCTGCAACTCAAAACTGGTTTCTCAGCTACTATCATAACACCACTAAAGAATAAACTTAGTGTAGCTGAAGCAGGAAAATTCTAAACCAGAAAAGAAATTTCTAAAAGCTTCCATTTACTCAAAAGAACGCAGTGTTCGACAACCATTGACACAAACTAGAAATCTGGTAACAGTATGGATACAAAATATGTATTACAAATACTTTACCTTAGATTACCAATCCTGGAACATTTCAAGAGAAGGGAGGAGAACTGGCATTAGTTCCCAAGTGGAAGGAATTGATTCTGTTCTTAACTGCAAAACCTGGGCAAATAATTAAGTTTTTCTCTTCCTCTTTTACCTCTTCAGCAGTTCTACTACCACATCTATCCAAGCTGTACGCTCTCTGATGGAAGGAAGAATGCCTGACTGTGTACACACATAGCATTAATGCACTGGGACGTGAACTTGGCTGTGACCCCCAGACAGAACACAATCCCAGTCTCCTCCTTGATCTCCCCATTTGGGTCTACACACATGGAAGTATTAAATAATGCTTTCACCAAGTAAAGTAAATTTTTTCATGTTAAAGCTCTGAAGGATCAGGTACAAAAAAACATGATTGATTTCTACAGTAACAAGCAACATTTTATAAGAAATCTCAGGAAGTAGGAACCTTCTTACTGACCTGTCAGCATGCAGGTTCAACAGTTCGGAATCTACAAACAAGTTTGGCCTAACAGCAAAATCATTGCTTCGTAAAGCAAAGTTTATCCCAGTTTACCCCCACTGACAAAGAGAACAGCTTAATTAGATGCAATAACAAACACCATCTTAAAAGGATTAAAAGAAGAAGAAAAGGTAGGACCAGATGTTATTTAGAAGAGAGCAATTGCAATAATAGAGACATTAAAAAAGGGAGAAATGTTAAAACAGGAGTTAAAGATGAGATGCAGCAAACTGCAAAAAAAGCGTGAATTTTATACATTACTGATGTTTGGACAGAGCACTGAGGAAACATGAAAGAGTGGGAACAGGATGTCACAACCTAAACGTCAGTCATTTGCTTCTTTAGGTGGAATAACATTTCCCAGAGGAAAGACGGAAAAGGAGGAATGCCTGAGAAAGAAGTAGAGGAGCAGCGTCTTGACTTTGCAAAGAGAGCAGAGACCTGCAGTTTGGGGATTTCAACCATTTATTTCATTTTGCTCTAATTTTTATCTAAACTTGCTCAGGCAACTTTCAAAAAAGGTAATACTGGCATTCTGAGGATCACAAAGCTCAGAAACTAACATACTGCATGTGTTCTTTACTACACAAGATGATAGCTGGCAAAGTAAGTACTTTGGCACTTCAGTGCAGGGATTTTCTTTTTTTCTAAAGCTGAGTTAAGAAGCAACCTGAAATCTCTTCCTCAAGGTTGAAGGATGTCTCTGAAAGGATTTGTAGTAGTGCTGTGAGCCTAGAAAACATAAAAAACATTGTTAATTGTGGTAGAATATGGAAGGCATGCCACAATTACATTGGAGTTACTTCCATCAGCTTGCTCAGACAAACGGTTGCTAACCTGTTTTTATCACCTCTTATTTAATTATTATAATCACACAATTATTCAAATTCAAGGAAATATATACATCTCATAAATAACGATTACGTACAAGCACTTACATACCTCAGAAATTAGCTGGTTATTTTAATAATGGAACTAAACTAGTCATATGCAGGGCCTGCTCTTTTTGTTGGTGCTATAAACAGAAGTCTGAGCTACAAATTGATCTTGGTATTTTTTATTCAAAAGGATCTCATATTTATATTCTAAACCATACATTTTCAATTTTATTTCCCCCCCCCCACATTAAAAGTTTACTAATTTGGTGAATTTACATAGGGACTAAAATAAAAGAAAATTGTATTTCGTGTCATGAAACCAGAAAAATCATGGAACAGTTCATAAACGGGTATTTGTGTCGCCACTCCATAAGCAGCAAAATTGATTCAGTTTGTACATCACATGGCCTTGACGTAATTGTAAGAATGATTAATTCTTAATCAATGAAGAATAGGAAGAGGAGGAAACTCCTCCTTTTCCTTCCAACAACCTTATTTTCCTTCCAATAACCTTTGTTCAAAACAACCAGAAGATGCTTTGCATGGCTCCTAACAGGCAACAGTTCAGTTTATTTCAGACCACAAAGGTTGAAGAAACTTCAACATCAATAGTTAAAACATCCTACCAAGCGCACCCATTCTTGTACACAGAGATAGCTCTCCCTGAGCTCATTATTTCTTGACTGTAGTATGAGTTGGTAGGTTTTGTTTTATTTCTTGACTGTAGTATGAGTTGGTAGGTTTTGTTGACTTTATACCTTCCAAGTAATCCTAATTTTGCCTACCTGTTAAAATTCTTTCACCTGTCCACATGCAGTTAGCAAAATCCATGGGAGTCAGTGATCTTTTCTGAAGTGCGTCTGCCTGTAAAAAGAAAAGAAGTACTATTAGTTAGTACGGTATTCTTATCTACTAAAACGGTTTTATACAATTTTTATTATACAATCCAGCAGGGTGAGCCCTAACAAGCTCTAAAGCTCCAGGCAGTACTAAAAACTGTACACTTCCATGCATTGGTTGCCTCAAACGAACTGCTTGATGCATTAAGCCTGAAGAAATCCCTTCTTCATACACTAGTCCTGCTTTTCAAGATTCCACATCCTCCCATCCTCCTGTACGCTAAAGGCAGTAGAAATCCCTATAAACCAGAAATCAGGAAAGACCTAGTAAAAACTGCTGCAAGACCTTTTACAGACCAACAGGCAAGAACAGAAGCGTCTTCACTCCTCCATGTCTTTGCTTACACTGTAACATACCCTGAATGTATGCGTTGTGTTGGGCCTTGAAAATTGATCGATAAAAACAGTTCGTTCTCTGAGTGGCCGTTGCTCCGTACTGCCAGGTACTGCACTTGAAACTCTGCTATAAGCGTAACGTCCTCTATGCTAAAGAATTAAAAAGAGCGTTGAGAGAATGCAGCTACTGAATCAGTTAAAATAAGAACTTTTCAATTGACATACAAAGAACAAAACAGAAAAGATGTTCTCGCTAATCCAAAAGCATTGAATCAGGGTAACATAAGCCTATTTGCATTTCTCAGATTTAAGACTATACTCTTATGTTAGCCTATAAGCCCCAAAGGCTTACTTTTTCAAAAAAAAGTTTTTTCTGTGTTTTAATTCAAAATATTATTCAGAAGTGAAGTAACATCAAAACACTAATTTACTTTCATTCTGGTTACTTATTCTATCACTATTCTTCAAAAAGAGACTAGTATTAATTTGATTTATGTTACTTTCAGTCAGTATTATTTTCTACTACTTAGCTCCCTTCACTATGTCAGCATGTACTTAAATCCAATGCATTCAGATTCTAGTATACTATCTGATATTTTAAGGTTTTTATTCTTTCAGAGAAAAGTTTTGCACCATGATCTGTTTGTGGCCTTAGGTAACAAGCCAGTGCCTCTTTCACTCGAAAGGTACTCTAACTGTAACATACATTAGCATGTTAAAACCATGTGTTAAAATAGGATAAAACGTGAACTTGAAAACTGCTCATTTCAACCACTGATGCAGTGTAATTTGTGTTTTATTTTGAGAGAGCTTCAAAGTTCTTCACCAGTATGCAAAGGAACATAACTTACAGAGCTCTGTTGCAATCGAGGTACTGAAAGATATTGTTCAACAGCCCCTGAGTTTATTGGTGGTAACTTGTTCCGAGTTGTACGTGCATGAGCAGAAGATAAACGATCCAAACTGGCACCCCTACAGAATTTTAAGGGATCCTCTTTTAGGAGAATTCAAAGACTTCTTAGTTGAAATAACGAGAAGCACCTAAACAGCACATTTCTTAATAGAGCTCAGCTACCGAAAGTAACAGCATTTAATGAAGCAACAAAAAATAACACAAATGCCAGTCCTCAAAGAATACTGTTCCGTTTGCTGTAATTTTCTGCCTGAATTTTATAATCAGTAACAAATCCTCAATTAGTTCTCAAGTATTTTGCAAATCCTTCACTGGTGTAAGTTCAGTAAAGTTCTGAGGAAAGCAAAAAGTAAAATGAAAAAACTCACAATTTAGTCCCCCTAAGGATTTCATCATTGTACATATTAGGAGCTTTTGAGGAGGGTTGGTCAGAAGTGAGAGAAGGTAACCTACAAAGGCTTGGTAGCTTCCTAGAAGATGTCAGCAGTACCCGAGATGATGAGAGAACACTGTTATCAGTAATTCTCCTCAATTTAGTGCGCACTGAGTTTGGCGCATTGGAGCCAATACTATGTAGTTTGTCTTCTTGCTCATTCCTAGGGGAAAAAAGGAGAATGGTATAGGGAGAGAGAGAGAGAAAGAAAAAAAAGTAAAAGGATTTCTTAACATAGTAGCATTGCAACCTCTTCAAACCCAAACATCAGTCACACAATGATGGGCACAAAGGAGATGTTTGCATTTCTGTCACCTTTTTAAAATCGCAAAATGTCTTTGGCGTAATATAAATTACATGGCATTTTTTTAAATTTCCAGACCAACATTTACCGTGTTTTTTCTCCTGTGGCCACATGCCTCTGTTGCAGCGGTTTTGCCTGAATTGTCATGACACCGTTCAAATCACTACAGAAGTTGCTGGAGAAACGGTGAACCTAGTGAGAGCAAAAAATATGCGTTAAACCTTTCAGTTTCATGACTTTTTTGAAGGAGGACCTCAAAAACACGTAGTTAGAAGATATTTGTACTTATTTACTTAAAAAAGTTTCAGTGAAGATGCTTCAGCAGAATTGTAAGTAGCAGATGGGGAAAATATGTTGTCCTGCTTATTTTAAAAGATTCTTATAAACAAAATACAATGAAATGTGTTACTGAACTGGAATTCAGTTTGCAATATAAGCTTCACTTGAAACTGGAATTCATGTCCAAGTTTCTTTTTTTTTTTTTCACTTAGAGTCCAACCCAGGGGAACAGAACCTGAAATATTACTCATCTGAGCACTTCTTTTGGCAGCTGGTACAATTACAGAACCAAGCATGTCAACTGGTAGCAGGAAGATTGCTGTGCTCTCTCTTCAGCGTTTCCTATCTTGCTACCTAGCAAGAGTACATGGAAGAGAATGAAGTTGTTTGAATTGACTGCAGAGACAGAACTGAATTGTGCAAAACTGGAGCAAGGGGACAGAGGGAGGTGGCGGCAATCAGGAGAGAAAAGTGCAAAAAGTTTGTATCAGTACAAACACAAGCCTCCAGAAATGCAGGTAAGGCCTAGTGCCAGCACTGCAGTGGACGTGCTGCAGAGTTCCCTCTCGAAAGGAGGAACGGAAAGGAGAAGGAGTAACACAGTCTGAAACTCACAGCGTTTTGAGTAAAGCACTTGAGGTTGCAACTTCACATCCCTGCAGTCCAGGGAAAAGACTAGTTTGTCTTCTAACTTCTACCAAGAGGAAAAGACTGGACCACAATAGAAGTAGAATTGTTTTCTGAGGAGGGAATAGAGTCTAAGAATCCGTTTTTTCTGCAAAGTGATATCAATGCTAAATTAAGCCTTTAGGAACAATTATAAGAAAATAAGAGATAGTAAGCACTAAATGCACACTGAATGAACTTTTTTCCTTTAAATGAGATGACTTATTTTAAGCATATATGATCAGTTGTTTAAAAAGGCCTTTTCTAGCTTCAGTCAGGACTCTATCCAAAGTCAACATAAAACAGAATGCCGCTTGGTGGAAAGTTATTTTACCTGTGATGGAACAAAAGGGGGACCATAAGGCATGCTTCGTGCTTCAGAGCCTCTGGAAAGAGGCATACTCCCAACATCTGCTGTAACACGAACAACTGGCAAATGTGACAGTTTAGCTGTAACAGCTTTCAGTTTTTCCACCTGTTTGTCACACTCTGCACAACAACAAAGCAATATAGGGAGTAGAGACATTTGTATACTTTTACCAGTCAGTAATTATTGAGATGCAAAGAATATTAAACATCACAGTAAATACTTTTGTATAGTTTTAAGTTTCCATGATATTCAAAAAATCTACCATAAAAAATGTCTTTCTGAAAGCATTTCACATGTTTACTTTTTCTGACAATGACAAACAAGACGGTCTATACAGATGGAGTGTTTTCTTTTGGGTTTTTTGAGATGCTGTTTTTTAAGCTAAGACTCTTGGAATATTATTAACAAATTTCCCAGAGAAAGAATAATGTTTTTTTTCCAAAGCTGAACAAATATACGAACAGAAAGAATAAGAACAACAAAAAGTCTGTTGAGCTTATCCTTGTCTGACAGCAGCTCCATACTGTTTCATCATGGACATATACTCTCCTCTTATTTCTATTATAATCCTAAATTCTTTTATTCTCCTAGTCCAAATACTTTGCTTAGCTATTTGGCATAAGCTGATGCCATTCATTAAAGAAAAAGAGCATATATATCAAAAACTCACTAAGTGATCCTCCTTAAACCATAATATTGAGCTAAACGATCCACCTGTGACGTGAAAAGCCCTTTTACATTTCAGACATGTTAAGTTCTGATGCTGCAAGCTTTCCCCAAAATTTTACCGCTTCTCACTTAGTTTTAAACTTGCATTTGAGGTTAAGTACCCCAGTAGTTTCCAACGTCCTCGCCCCCGCCCCCAGGTGATTTTCTGTTACTATCTTTTTAAAATATATTGAAAGAAGAAGTGAAATTTCCCTGAGCCTCCAAGGACAACACATGCACACTAAAGAACAGAATTTCACTACCAGCTAATTTTTCTAGGGTTTGCTTTCCTGACTACAGTCTGTTAAAACACCAAAAAAGTTATGTGCACTGCTATTTCTTAATCCCACATGAAGCTCATGACCCCTAGCAATGTCAGCAAGGGTATTTCTCATTAATGCTTTGACTACCTGAGGGTTCTTTTTATTAACAAAGCTCAAGTAATAAGACTAGAAGACTTTGATTCCTAGTTCCCAGATTGAGACCATGTTGTCGGAGATCCCCTGCTGGCAGCACCGATTTGCATCCTGAACTAGTGCTTTCCTGCAATTGAGCTCTTTTGGTCAATGTTTTCTTCTTTATACCTCTAATCCACCTCTCCACCCCACCCCCAACAATCAGTAAGACTCTTATTTGAGGCAGGGTTGGCAGGTATGTCTGACAAGGCATTACATATCTTAAAATGCTGTCCTACAAACATGGATTTCTTAACATATACAGGTTTCCCAAACTTTAAGAAAGATTTATTTTTCCAAGTTAGATTTGATTACTACCATTTTTAAAAATATGAAGTACCTGTGATATTAGTTTCCCAATTTTTTTTAATCAGCTCCTCCAATATTTCAATTATATTCCTCCACATATGATCAAATACTTCAGAAGCTACAGCATCTTTGATACAGGCATTAGGAGACACAGGGGGAATGCCATGTTTCCTCCTCTTCTCAGCAAGATGCGTTTTCTTTTGTTCCAAACTCTCATCATCGCTAATAAAAGAAGTAACTTCAAATGTATTACCACCTTCTTGGACAAGCTTTTTTCCTTCTAATACACTGAGCAAATATAAACATGCATACAGAGGAGAAAAGTCAAACATAGATTTTAAAAATCAAATTCAGATGTACTGAGTACATATGGGAGTAGAATCTATCAAACACATATCGTGACTCTTCTGCTTGCAAGTGAAAAAAAAATCAAGTCAGGGTTTTATAACAGATTTGCAACTCAAGAAGAAACAGCTTTATACATAGGACTTCATCATTTGAGGCTAAATTCTATGCTTTTTGCCATAAAAAACTATGGTTTTACCATGGAAACCATTGTTTCCTGTGTTTGGCAGGAGGACTATCAAACAGAACATTTCTTTCATATCAGGTCCTGTGTTTCTGGAAACATCTGCAATACTCATGCATCACTGATCAAAGAGAACTAACTGAAGGACTTCTGTAGCCTGACAAGAATAGCAGAGCCCATAAACTTATGTTCACCTCCCTCCTTTCCACTAATGTGTGGACATTTACATTTTTTTCCTTCCCATCTGGATAGGCTCAGGCTCTAGAGAAGAGCATTTTAACCTATGTTTATTTTTTCATTAATGTCATCGTATTTCCTTCCAAGGAAATGAAAATTTGAGATTACAAGGACAATCTCAAATTCATAACGGTTTCTACCATCTCTTTTTCCCTCCTCAGTCTTCCTCAAACTGGACTTCTTAAACTTCAATTATAACTGGACATGGTCGCGTGGTCTAATCCACAAAATGATTCAGACACTTTTCTAACAAGCTTTGTAATGCCTAATGTTCTAGTTGGTGAGAACATGACATCTCAGAATGGATCCTGAGAAGGAAACAAGAAACAAGCTTGGGAACAAGCAAGGGGAAAAGGAAGTCCTGCATTCCACTGCCTGTCTCAGAATCAAGCATGTGTTTTATTTAATTTCCATGCACAAAAAACCTAAAAGCCTGCAGCTTAGTGGTTTAGACACGTTCCTCTGATATAGGAGACCCGAGTTTTGAACCACTAGAAAGACAACATAGGTAATTTTCCACATGACCAGTGAGTACTCTAGCCACCGTGCTACTGAATACAGGGTCAGAGAGAATGATATTTTACAGCAGAGAAATCTTTATGAACCCTGACTGGGCTAAACAAAATACTTTTTCATGATATTGTTCAAAAATGCATATATCTTATTTACAGCTCCTTGTTGTCAAAGGCAAGATACTCTTCTATCCTTCCATCCACATCATAGATTTCTTCTTCCAGGAATGAATACATGGAAGAGTTGGAGGCAGAAATCCTAGCGGAACTGGAATCTACTGATATACGCACTGGAGACACTGCGGGAATCAATTTAGAACCTGAAATGCAGAGCCTAAAAAAAAAAAAAAAAAAAAAAAAAAAAAAAGAGAGAAAATACAAACAGATTGGAAAGAGGTAAGCGCACTAAACTTAGTTTTACACCATTCAGGAAGCCCTTATTTTCTGACTGAGATCTGCTACCTTTTAAAGACTCTTCATCCTACAGAAACAGCATTGCAAAAATTGTTATTTGAAGAAAAAAAAAAAAAAAGAGAGAGAATTAACTATTCAAAGAAAGAAGCAAGCACATATTTAATTATATTTAAATGTTTTAATAAAAGTAACACTTGTACAAGCCTCTGAAGAGGGAAGACAGAACAAAGTGATTTTTTTGGCTAAGCATCTTTTATTTTTAGTAAGCAAAGACCATGCAAGTGAAATACTATTCTACCTAGTGCTCAGGAATTCAAAACAATCAAGAGACTTTTTATATACTGGAAAATCTTACTTTATCATCTCTATACAGACAGCATGTCTTACACAGATGACAGCAATTCGCTGATAACTTCTGCAATTCAATTATACTCTAAATATAAACACAAAAACGAAAGCTGTAGTCATGTCAAAAGAAACACCAAAGAACACCTACAAAACACTTAACATACTCTTTTATATCAGTAGTATATTCGTGGAGGCCAGGTAAAACTTTAGTATCCAAAGAGCTCTCTCTCCTGCTCTGAAAATGCTGAACGCCTTCATCCTTTGGTAATAGGAGCTGCTTTCCTAGAATCCTGGAAAAAAAAGGAGGGGAAAAAGATTGTAGATGAAAATCTACTCTACAGACTGATATAAAAAAACACAAACTGTAAACAGCTGACAATGACATTTGCTTTGAATAAGCAATTTATGCAGATGCCAGGTCCTTGTGCAATATGTTACACTGACTACTATTTAAGCAATCATTTAAGCTGATTTATGCAAGAGGAGATTCTAACTTATTTTTAAAAGCAAATGAAGTCAAACATTTTACTGTTATAAAGGTGGATAAAGTAAAACTTTCTTTCAAAAGTCTGTAAGAAATGTTTAAAAACAGATATAGTACACAAATAACATCTGTTATGCTTTCAGTAACTCATCCAACTCCAGTGAACAATTCCAGCAGTGTAAGCAGAAGTCATAATCCAAAATGTTCATATGGACAAAGCTAGAAATAATATACACTGGTACTAGAAAATGCACAAACATCAGCATACATAATGCACAGAGGCAGGAAGAGAAAAGGAAAGAGCAACAGCATTTACACAGAACTACTCTGTATAACTCTGTACACAGAATTACTCTGTATAACAATTTCTGATCGCAGTTTATGTAATTAATAACCATTGCTTCCTCAACTGTTTTTCATCTGAATTCCCAAAGGATTCTCAGAAGAATTTGCTAGTCACAGCTGTATCTCAAACAGCAATTTTCAGACTCTCTAAAATTTGAACATGTTTTCTTGAGACTACCTCTCACAGAACACTATTGTATGCCACATGAAGCTCTAAGCAATAACCTTTTTATTTTTTCTTTTATAAATCAAGGAAAAAAAAGTCTTTTTACACAGATCTGATCCTTCTCTTATTGATGACAAATTTCCAGCATATTTACTTCTCCATACTGAGCTAAGTATTCAGATACTGTCATAGCTACTTTACCAAATAAAGGAAAAGACAGCCAGTGAGCTCTTTGCTCACACAAATGAAGCATAACTCTCAGAAATAGCTACCGCTGGAGTCTCAGAAGCTATTCTTTTGAGTAACTACTCAATACAGTTTTAAGGCTTAATCTTTCTTTAGTAATAAAAAAAACTATTTTGTACCACATGTCTTGGTACCAAGTGAGGCAGACCTCCAAGATTTCTTTGGCTCGCTTTCAATCTCTTGGACTTGGTTGATATCACCAGCATCAGATTTGATTCAAAAAAAAAAATCAAAAGTACAGGAGATGACTTACAAAAATTATTTTTAGTGAAAATATTCTAAAAATACAGTGAATTATGTAATATTTTGAATGTATTACACAGCACAAAAACCTGTCTCCGTTTTCTGCATGTTCTGTTAATTTTTACACAATCTAAAAAAGTTAAAACATCTGGCTTAATGCTAGTGAAAATTGCCTCAGGTTTAATTGACAAATCTCTTCTGTTCCTGACAAAGTGCGACAAGCGTTATTAGTTAATTTGAGTTTAATTTGCAGAGGATTGTTGTTAGTAAATATACTTAAAAACATTAAAAACACGCTGCCATTATTAACAGCATTCTTTTTAATAGTGTTAACAAATTATCGACTAGAAGATTACTTAGACACATGCAGATCTAGGCTTAAAACGGCCTGGGGCCACCACATCTCACTAAGAACGACAGACCGTCATTTATGAAGGCAGGAGCACTACAACGCAGTGCAACACTGACTTCTTTCCTCTGCATTATAAGAAGCAGTCTTCAGGCTTCCTGGATGTTTTGCACATCTATCTAAAACAATTCTCATTAATCACGTATATATCCTCAGATCTTTTGGACTACTTATTACTTTGCTAATATCAGAAACTGTTAACACTGATGTACATAACCTAGGGAGACATTATGGCTGTGCAGCAGATCAGGAGCACGTGGTCACCTTTGTTTTTCATTTCTTTTTAGAACAATTAATAGAAGAGATTAACACTGAATTCCCTGGGATTTCATAGTATGCCATCACGTACCATACAAGTAAGTGTTTCTTTGTAAGATGCATCGATTAATTAGGAAAAAGTCATTATGAAAATAGGTGATTTTTATTTTCTTATAACATCTTGATAATCACTGCATTGATTAAAGTAAATATCATCAGCACCATAACAGCAGCACAGCTCAGTCTCAGAGATCCAGATTCAAATGCAAAGTCTTACTGATACAATACATCATGAGCAATTCACATTAAGATACCAATCAAATTCACATCACAGTGGTAACTGGTTAAAATCAGTATTAGCAAGAAATTTCCTTACCTTAGATGAAGAGATCGTTCAACCCAGTCTGCACATTCCGCTTGCAGGCTCTGAGTTTGAGAGGTCACTTTTCCTTCAAACAGCATTTCATCGATGTCCCAGAATAAATGATGCACTCTCTGTGTGTTGGCCTTATCAAATTCCTACATATTATAAAATTAATAGTTGTTAGCAAATACATATTTATATTTATAGTCAAAAATCATATTTAAAGAGCAGGGTAACCGTAGACGGATTTGGCTGAACATCTCAGGAAGGATCTTCAGACCACATACTTTGGACACACTGTTGATATGCTGCTCCACAAAAACAATAGGTAGCTGGCCTAAACAGGGTGATTTAGTGAAAAGGAACTACATTTCCTATGAAGTTAACAGATAACAGACAGCCGCCTAAGATTAGCCGACTGAAAACACCAATTATCAAGTGCCTGGACTACTGGTTCCCTCCCTACTCCAAACCTGAACCTCACATGCATACTGTACCTCTGAGACTGAAGGCCCCAAAGCTTCCTGCTTTTCTGAGCAGCACTTTTCCTTTCCAATCAAAAATACTAAGATGGCAAAGAGGAGGCACCTTCCTTCTCCTTGACATACCCTGATGGCTAAGAAACATCCTTCAGTCTGAGAAATGACCTTCCACACCTTTTCATTGAAGTTATAACTCAGTGCAACCAGAAATGGGTGAATCCAGCGGCAGACAAAGGTGCCAGAGGAGAGAATGACTTTATCCAGCAGTGTGGGCACAAGCACTCAGCCGAGGGATCCCAGGTTTGGTGACTATCAAAACGCTATTTGCTACTTACATGAGACACTTCATTGCACTGAAAAAAAGTGGTAACAATCAGGGATCAAAGTATATCTGTTCACTTCCTCCTTAGTGCTCCAACTGTTTCAGGCCACAGAGTGGACCACATCGAACAGGAATGGCAAAGTAACTCTCACGCAGGCTATGATACAATCTAGGGTCAGGCATTCTCCTGGAGGGTGACAGATTGGGTCAGTACCTTAAAGGTTAGGCCATTATGCTAAAGGTATGGCACAACTACCACTACCAGCCACAGCAGGCTTTGTTTAAAGGAGAGTGACAGTAGCTGTTATGCTTTTGATTTATTTAATGCTGCCAGTGTGCACTAAGATGCCTTAATGGATCATCTGTGAAACAGAACTGAGCTTAAGCAAGAGCTAATTACTGGTTTATTAAGATCAGGACACTTACATACATACTCACGAACATACTGCACGATTCAAAACGTTCAGAATAGTTCAGTTTAGATGTTTCCTGTATTATGCAGCATTTGAAAATAGGTATTTTATCATTCACTTGGACTGAGAAACCTAAATCCTGTCTTCTTTAGTAAAACAGGTTTGCTTTCCCCAAATTTCATTGTTTCATACTGCTTTTCTTCATTACACATCAGCTGAACTGATATCAATTTGCACTCAAAACAGTTTTTTCAATACTCAGTGAATATACTTAATCATTAAGCTATCATAGATGGAAACGATTAACCCTTCTGGATAAGTGTTGCACACCCATTTTCTGTAAAAATTAACCTTTTCCTCAATATTTAAACAGCACACTGTAACAGCTTCTTGGACGTACATCATCCCTCCAAGAGTAAAGCGAACTTCTTTCAGTAGACAAACCAGTAGTATAGCTGTTTATTCCAGACCAAGAATTTTTCAAGCCTGTGGGTGTCGTATGATCACTAGGAAGTGATGAAACTGTTTCACTGTGGAAAGAAATCAAATTAAAATGAAGAATACAATGGTTTTATATACCAATGTTTTAAAAATAATGCAAGTGATCATATAAATGGATTGTGATACATTCTCCTGTTGCATACATGATTTTCAGGAGATACTATTAGAGTCAACGTGAAGAACTGGAAGTATACGTTTGTAAGTAAGGAGCAAATATCTTTTGCCCTCATGGGTACCATTTAGTGCCTTAAGGGCAACTCTTTCTACTGTATTATGCTTTTGCACGTATACCGTTTTAGTTGTAAGGACACTCCAGAACCGCAATTAAATATTTATTTCATCTGTGTACAGGTAAACAATACACACGCATACCTACTTGCACACGTGCCTACTTTTTCACCTCTAACAATTATTTTATGTTCTCCAGCATGTTTAGCGAGCACACCAAAAAACACGCTACTGATAGCTTCTAATAGTGTTAAAGAAGGCTTATGTTATCACAGGAAAGCTGAGCATAAAATCTCTACAAACGTGTCAATTCCATCCAGCTATATAACTGTACACATAATATTTTTTTAGGCTGTTGGACTTGGTACACTTTTAATCTGGAATTACGGGATTCTAGCTTCTCACAAAGCTCTGACCAGTCTTCTGCCAGCTACCACCAACACTGGGATACAGTGAAAGCAAGGGCAGTCAGTCCTGCAGGCCAGCCAAACCCTAACCGCTGTTTATTGGAATGAAGCTTCTGCAAAATTAGCTGGCCTGTGAAGCTGGCTACCATTATCTGCCTTTAACCATGAAGTCTGACTTACCTTCCAGGCTAATTGGTTCCCCTTCACTATGCTCTAAAAATATGCAAATCCACAACACAAACAGTTCAAACCCTCTAAACAACAGTTTAGGTCAATTTATATTCTTCGTTGTGTGGAATCTCCATATTTCTCCACGTTTCTATACCTAGGGAAGAATTACTTAGCTAGCAGAAGCTAAAGGAAAAAAAAACAGAAATGTATTCTAATCAACAAATACCATACAAAAATAGTAAGTAAATTAGAGAAAGTAAAGATAACAGACAGATGTTTTCTTAGCCCTACAATAATAATAAAGCTGACTAATATGTAAAAGGCTGAACATCGCAATCTCAGCTGCTTAAACTTCTGCTTTACCTGCAAATTAAAATAATTTGAAAAGTAAAGTTCCTGACCTAATAATTGTCATCTATAAGAATGACTAAAAGCATGACCAGTGAAAATGAATACCAATACCAAAATAATTATTTAAGCCCACAGCCCATTAATAAAGTATCATTTCAGAAGTTAATGCATACCAAGCATAATTGTCAATAGCTTCCTGCACGTTTTTCTCAGAAAGTGTTGGAAGAGACTCCCCGTCTTTTTCTGAAAGACATTCATTTGTAGGACCTTTGGACAGCCCCTTCCTGAAACATAAAAGCACATCATTCCATAATCTTAAACAAGCTTAACCCACATCTCCCCAGAGAAAAGAGGAAAGCATCTCTGTTGAATTTTTCAATTCTGTCCATGAATACAAACGTTTGCTTGAAACAAACTACCTTGTTTTAAAATGTTTTTTATTTTTCACTACTAATACTTTTTCCGTAAAACATACACGTAATTTGAGATTTATTTTATTTCACAAGCATATTTCACAAGTGCTTTGATTTTGCACTTCAAAAATTGCCTGAAGCTAACACAAATGCAACAGTGCTTAACTATTCCAGGAACAGTTGAAAGGTATAAAACACTGATTAGTCATACAATAGTCATTAACTACATGTTTCTGTTCAATCATTAACCTAGAACCAATTTTCCCAGATATATCTCTGCATAAAAACAAGTTACAGATACACTGCCAAGCAAACGATTAGTAAAACGACTACTTTACTAAAACTCTATGAATGCTCAACTTGGACTAACATCACAGTTGATTTAACCAAAACAGCCAACATCAAGAAACAAGGGCATATTCTCAAAAACAAAAACCAGAAATTGCTTATAATCATGCATTTCTACAATCCTGTTAAGTTCCATCATTACCACGCTAAAGCCTCCTCTTCAAAGTATATACAGATGTGCCAAAGAGTTCCTCAGAAACACTTTTAGGAAATGGATTCCTTTCTCTGCAGAAGTTATTTTCATTCCATTAAACCCTCAGGTCATAAATGAATAGCAGCATGACTGCATCAAAGTACACTTGTGAATGAGTAACTGCAAGGAAACAGCTTACAGTTTTTGAGCTCCGTTGATTTCTTCCACCAAAAACTGGGTATTGGCCCTACAACAGTTGCTCACTTTAATCTTATTCCTTGTTCCCTAGACACCTGCTTTTGGCTACCATCAGAAAAAAAGATGCTATATAAGCGATTTAGCATGGTCTAGTCCCATGAAAACTTCATGTTGCTGTGACACCAAGAACTGTCTGGAGTCAGTACTGGTAAGCTCACATCCGCCCATCCTTCTACATGGACAGCTAGGTCCCTCCTCTGCCAGTTCACCTGCCATGTTTGTGCCCAATCAGTCTTACAGGGCCTTTCTGATTTTTTTCATAGCTGATCCTTGTTTCGGGTATCTTTCCGCTGCTTCGTATCATCACCAAGCCTTCTTGCTTTACTGCTCTCCCCCTTACCTCTGCAGCTAAGGATATCTTAAACAACCCAGGGCCCAGCACAGACCTCTGTGCACCATGGCTGGAAAAGAAACCATTTACTCCTCTCCTCCCTTTCCTATCACTGCGATTTGCGTGTGCAAGAAACCTTTCCTCTTGTACCCTGGCTGCTTAGTTCCCTCAAAAGAATTCAGTAGGCGACTCTGATGAAGGCCTTTGGCAATCCAAGCAGACTGTACTGACTGGACCTCCTGTATCTATGAGTTTGCTTACCCCTCAAAGAACCGCAAGTAGTTCGTTGGGGCTTTAAAGGAAATCTAGACCTACATACGTGAAATCACCCTTCCACCCCCACAAAATATCACCAATACAATTTCAGACTTTCTCTATGAAACATAGCACACGCATAACATTTAATGCCGTCATATACAGTGAGAGCTATCAAGAAAAGGGTTTCTGCCACATCATTTCACTGCATTCAGCAGTATTTCTCATCCTGACTTTTTGGACCACGTGACATTAGAAGGTAGCCCAGGAAATGACTACAATAAAATGAAAGAAAAAAAGAGGAAAGACACACACTCCACGCGCAGCACGTTTCCACAGCGCGGGCAGGCGCTTCCAGCAGGCAGCTCCCGACTGCACTCGAGCCTTAACTGAAGCCTCTGCAATTGCAGGCATAAAACCACGACAGTACAAACCCACCTGCTGTCTACCTACACGCCGGGGCTTCGCCTACCACCCCGTCCCT